AAAGAGAAAGCACAAATACACAATAGTAAAATGAAATGGATGGTACAACTACAAACATATTACAGATTTGTGAAATGTTCAGAATATATTGGTGTTATTTTCAAAAGGAAATAGTTCTTTGTAGGTATTTTACTATCTAAAGTTTTAAATGATACAGCTCCTTAAATTAGTTTGCCAGGGCCACCATAACAAAATACCACAGACTGGGTGGCTTCAACAACAGAAATTTATTTTCTCACAGTTCTGGAGGCTAGAAATCCAAGGTCAAGGTGCCAGCAGAGTAGATTTCTCCAGAGGCCTCTCTCCTTGGCCTGCAGACTGCCGCCTTCTTGGTGTTTCCTCATATGGCCCTTCCTCTGCGTGCATACATCCCCAGTGTCTCTTTGTGTCCAAATGTCTTTATGTAAGCGCGTCTATGAGATTGGGTTAGTGCCCACCCTAACGGCCTCATTTGAACTTAGTCATGTCTTTAAAAGCCTTATCTCCAAATGTGATCATATTCTGGAGTTATAGGGGGGTCAAGGCTTCAACATACGAATTTTGAGGGGGACACTAGCCCATCACACCACTCTAAGAGGGAAGAAGTTACATCTTTTCAACACAAAGTCCAATGCAAATACATAATAACCGAACACATCACAGTGCCTCAGGGAATGCTTGTTTGAATAATGGCTGTCAACACATAGTATGGTTTAAATGTTTGTCTTTTAGAAAGCTCATGTGGAAATTTAATTCCAAGGTAACAGTATTGGGAGGTGGGGCTTTAAGAGTTGATTAGGCTGAGGGCTCCACTCTCATGAATGGATTCATGCCGTTATAAAAAGGGCCTTTGGGAGCTCCTAGTGGTGCTTTCTCTCCCCGCCCTCCTCACCCCTATCCTCTTCACCTTCTGCCTCGTGAGGATCCAGCCTCCTCCCCTCTGGAGGGCACAGCATGCAAGGTGCCATCTTGAAAGAAGAGAATGGCTTTGCCAGACAGAACCTGCTAGCACTTGACCTTAGGCTTCCCAGCCTCCAGAGCCATCCCTGCCGTGGGCGTGGTTCTAGGAAATGTCCTTCCTGGCTCCCCTCCTTTGTTTGCTCTTATCCTTCTGGATTTCCTTCCCTTCTCTCCAGAAGTCTTGCCTGACTCCCCTAGTCCGTGTTACTGTATTTCACCACGTCTGTAACATGTTTTAACATCTAGGACTGAGGCATACCTTACAATTAAGGTGTGTCACAGTATGCATCACAGGCTTTGTTTTCATTTTAAAATAGGGGAAGCCACCAGTGTATGTTGGAGGCCAGAGGGGAATGGAATAGAAACTATTGAAGATGAATGAAAGATGGGTGATACTTGGTGAAGAAATTTCTGGAAAAAGAGCATACAAAGGGGTACACTTTTTATAAAGTAGGAGAAGGAAACTTAGAGATTTAAGGAACCAAAAAGCCAGTAGGGAAAGAGAAGTACCAAAGAAGAAACATATGAACACCAGAGCTTGATAGCCTTTCTTTCTTTAGGGAAGTAGTAATCAGAATAGTTTGCCCAAAGTTACAAAGGAGAGGGCAGAGTTGGGGCATGGCAATGTAAAGACATTCTGGAATTGCTATTGCTAGACACTGGGGCAGGGATTCTCAAGGTGCACTGGGTTTATAAGGTCTGACTGGTTTATTTTAATACTCATGCTATTTGTCGTTTTTGACTGTTATTTCATAGTAGCATAGAGGAGTCTTCCAGAAGCTGTATGACAGTATTGAAACAGATTGAGTGCAGAATCCACCTGTCTTCTGTTTACGCCATACTGTAAAGAGATTTAACAAAAGTCAAAACACTGACACTCTTGATTTATTTTGTTTTGTAAAGTTAGTTATTTGTAAAATAATGTTAACTTGATAGGTTTATTATTTTTAAATGAAATAATTGACAAATAGTTTTAAATTTCTCAATTTTAATTTCTAACATGGTGTAAATATTGATAGATATAACCCACATAAAGAAAAGTTCTTTGGGGTGGTCAATAATTTTTTATAGTTTAAAGCAGTCCTGAGATGAAAAAGTATGAGAGCCACCGAGCTAGGGAATCAATTTTTTTAAAAGGGATTATTGGAAACAGTTGGGTTGGTGGCATAAAGAATTCTATAAATATTTATAAACAAAATGTTTAAGTTCTTTAATAAAGTATTGCAAGAATATCAAGAAGTGTTTGCAGAGAGTGCTTCACAGAATAGGTGACCTTTGAGTTGAATCTTGAAAGCAAAAGGGCACCCTGTAGAGAAGACAGCCTGGGCGCAGAGAGCACCGCGTGCTGTCCCAGGCTCTGCCAGGCGCCAGTGTGGCTGGTAGGTGCATTGGGGTGGCCTGAGATGACACTCAACGGTTGTGATTAAGCACGCTGAAAACAGGTGGGGGGGGGGGTTGATGAATTTACAGTGGGTGAGGAGTACAGGATAGAGAATGGACTTGTATTTGGTGACCAAGAAGACAGAACCAGAGTCTGAGTAAATAGACCACTGTGTAAGTGAGCTACGTCAGAAATAATGAGGGCCTCTAAGGCGAAGGCAGTGGGCATGGAGAGAGGGGCACATCTTCAGAACAGCTTAACATCAGGGAGTGGTAGAGTTGGTGAAGGGTGAGCTTGAGGGTTGAAGGAAATAGAAAAGGAAATGGGGCCAGGTGTGGTGGCTTACACCTGTAATCCTAGCACTCTGGGAGGCTGAGGCAGGTGGATCACTTGAGGTCAGAAGTTGGAAACCAACCTCAGTAAGAGCAAGACCCTATTTTTACTAAAAATAGAAAGAAATTAGCTGGGCAACTAAAAACAGAGAAAATTATCTAGGTGTGGTGGCGCACACCTGTAGTTCCAGCTACTCAGGAGGCTGAGGCAGAAAGATCACTTAGCCCAAGAGTTTGAGGTTGCTGTGAGCTAGGCTGATGCCACGGAATGGGCGACAGAGCAAGATTCTGTCTCAAAAAAAGAAAGAAAAGGAAATGGTCAATTTATCCAATTGAACAAACATTTTGAGGACCTCATTTTCCAGGTGCTATTCTAAGTGCTGGAGATTCACAGAATTCAGCACACTTGCTCTACTCAGATTGCTCTCAAGCCTAGTGGAAAGAGACAAAGCCACAATTGTAGTAGAAAATGAGTTACAGGAACACAGAGGAAAGTTGCATAGCATTTTGGTGATTATTTCTTCTTCCTCTTCCTTTTGTTCCTCTTCCTTTTCCTCCTCCTCTTTTTTGTTCCTTCTTCCCCTTTCTTCTTTCTTCTTTGTTTCTTCTTCTTTCTTTCTTTTAGCTTAGGATGGCTTCCCAGAAGTGGTGGCATGAGCTGAATATTGAGGAGTGTGTAGGAATTAGTCAGGCAGCCAGAATAATGAGGGCTTCTGGCAGTGCAAAAGCATAGCAGCCAGAAGGCTCCATGAAGTTTAAGAAAAATGACTGGTTCAGTTGCCATCCAGTGAGATATGGAAAGCAGAGGTCTGGCGGGGGCTGGGCAGTACAGGAGTGCTGGAGATGGAAGTTCAGCTTTGATTTGGGGTGCTTTGTCTACTCTGAGTGGAGAGCTCTTGGTAATGAATGAGATCGCCCAGAGTTAGGTTGTACATGAGAGCCAATGACTGAAAGTAGAGCTTTTCAAAATCAGTAATTAATGTGCTTAGAAGAAGGATTAGTGAAGGGAAATTGGTAGACCAGAGTCTAAGCATAAAGGAAGTTGTCAGTAACCTGTAGCAGAGGGCACATGAAAGGGAGACTGAAGAGTGGCCATGGGTTCTCATGTTAGGGTGGAGGTTGGTTAGTGTTTGTTGAATGGCCTCCTGTCTAGGTAGGGAAGGGCTGAGGCCCACGGTGGGGCTGGTTGAGCATTAGGTTGGGAGCCCTTCTGGGAACGGCTCAGTTGACATGGATGGGTATGAGTTGCCAGAGACGAGCCAGATTTGAGATTTAAAAGCTGGAAGTTCAGAGAATTTTTTCCTCAATCTGTTGGCTTCATGTAATAAACTTCACATAAAATTTTGTGTTATTCTTTTTAAATAAATGTAAAAATATTTGTTGATATTTGTTGCATGAGTCTTGTGGTATTTGGACATAAATCATACATAATAAAGTGAGCTACTGCAGCAAAACTCTTGACATATATGGATGGTTTTTTTAAACCAACAACTGATATATTAACAAAACCATTTGAATGCATGTGCTTATTGTGGTATGTGGATGTGTTTATTTTGTTATAGTTCACTTGTTCTCCATGCTTTGAGAATTTCCCTTTTTAAAAAAATTTAATGAGAAAGTCTTATTGATCTCTGTGTGTGTGTACCTGTACACTTTCCCAGAAGTCTAGGAAAAATTAATTGGGGAAGAAGTATATTTTTGTCTTCATTTAAATATATAATATGGTATTGTCTTATGAGTTATATGATCTCATTCAGTGCTATAGGAAGAAGTAAAATGAGAGTTGGTTTAAAAACAACAGGAACATACACAAACACTTTAGTACATCTGAAGCATGTTTTATTTTAAAAAGATTTGAAATATCTATTTCTTAGTGGTATTAGTAGGCTATTGTAAATTTTGGCTCATTTAATATTGCTGTATCTAAGTGCTAGGATGTCATTTTTTCCATTGAAAAAAAGGGCAGTGTTTCTATTTTTTTGTCACTGCAACCTTATAAGCTTTGTGTGTATCTGTTATTGGTAACCTATCTCATATATTTGTGTAGAAATTTTATGAGTGATGAGGTTAAGAAAGATCTCAAGTTAGTTGTGGGATTTTATTGTTTTCTTTAAAAAAAAATAAGTATTTTATGAGGGGAAAAATAAATACAACTTCTTCTATAATAAAAATTAAAATGATCTTTAGTTGGCATCAGATGAGCCATGAGCTAGGAACCTGTGCCAGAGGAGTGTCACATGCCAGAGGAATCCTGGGGCCGCAGAAGTTGATGCCCTTTCAGGGAGGGGCTGATCTGAATAGTTTTGTGTATTTATAGTGACAATTGTACCTTCCTTCTTTTTTCCTAGCCGCTATCTAAATAAGGCTTTTCATATCTGGTCCAAGAAAGATAAATTCTCACCCAATTTTATAAGCAACGTGATATCTCACACTGGCCTGGGACATTCTGCACCAGCCTGGATGCTGCTCTCCAAAATTGCTTGCTCATCACCCAGGCTCGACTACACCAAAATAATAGAGTCCTGGGAGAAAATCACCAGGTTTGTATGTTTATAATTTAGCCATTGATGGACACTCGATATTCTTGGAAACAAAGCTCATGTCTCAAGGAAGCAGCCTATTTCATAGCCATTTGTATACTGAGATTTTTTGTTTAACATCCGGCATAAAAACCAACATGAAAAATAAAGAGTCAGGGCCCACATGGTGGCTCATGTCTGTAATCCCAGCACTTTGAAAGGCTAAGGCCAGAGGATCGCTTGAGGCCAGGAATTTGAGGCCAGCCTGGGCAACATAGCAAGACCTTGTCTCTACAAAAAATAAATGAATTAGCCTGGTCTGGTAGCCCACACCTGTTGTCCCAGCAACTTGGAAGACTGAGGTGGAAGGCTTGCTTATGCCCAGGAGTTCAAGGCTGTAGTGAACTATGATCATGCCATTGCCCTCCAGTCTGAGTGACAGTAAAACCCTCTCTTTTAAAAAAAAGAAGAAAGAAAGAAAACTAAGGGTCATTTTTAAGCTGGCAGTTTACTCTTTGTCCAAGTATATTAAGTGCCTTGATGTTCCCACAGATTGACTCCTAAAGCATGCTACCTACCCTACTTCTTCCAATATTAATAATCCTGAACAAAAGGTATTTTTCTGGTAACAAAGTTTAATTTGGTTCTCTCCTAATATTTTTCCTGCCCTTTCTCTAGTCAGCAGAACCCCAATTCAGACACCTTAGGACATATTCTGTGTGTTATTGGGCATATTGCAAAGCATCTTCCTAAGAGTACCCGGGACAAAGTGACTGGTGAGTGTCCACTGGAGAATCTTCTTTGAAGAGGCGTTGCCATTCATTCCAGTTTATATATATATATGTATATATATATATATGTTTTAAAGTTACACTTCAAAGGATTTGACTTCTTTCTTAGGTGTTATCAAGTGTAAGCTGAATGGATTTCAGTGGTCTCTAGAGTTGATCAGTTCAGCTGTTGATACCCTGCAAAGGCTTTGTAGAGCATCTGCAGAGACAGCAGTGGAGGAAGAGGTATGGCCACAAACTCTGCTTGATATGTTTCTGACTTATTTGTATTTAGATGTCTTATTCTGTTTCAAAGTTTGAGGAGTGGTCTCTATTGATAGAGGACCTATAAAGATGTGTAGTCCCCAGTGGCTGTTGCTACAAGAAGGCAGTGCTATGTGACTAGCTCTTGACATTTCCCAAGAAGATCTGGCTGCTAAAGATACATGGTCCCTAAGGTAGTCACCACCTTGGTTCCAGGGTAGTAAGGTATGCCTGCTGATTGACACTCATTTTCTGGTGAGAACTCTGCAAGGTTATCTTTTGATAAGTTGTAGCCCCAGATGCTTATGATACCTTTGGACATCCTTCTCCTTCATTGCCACTCTTATTCCAAGAACAATCAATAGACAATTTTCCACCTAATCAGGGAGTTCCCTCCAGTCCAGGTTTCTGATCTTTTGATGAGCCATAATTCTGGAAAATGCCTGTCCTGTTACTATGAAGTTACATTTCTCAAATATTTCTTGCTAATATCATGTCCCAAAACTGCCCATGACCTATAGCTAATGTTTTTATATATGCATAAACACAAAGCCAAATCAGGGTTTATGTGAAGTAGAGAGTTACTGTGACTACTCTAAAAGGTATCCATATCAGTATCTCCGAGAAATAATTTTATTGCCATGTATTCTGTTTTTGTCATGAGATATACTCTTAGTGCTAATCATAATGAAAAAATTCAGGGCTAGAGGTTATTAATAATGATTATAGAAATTAAAAATTTAAATAATTGCTGAAATATATTTAAGTTTTCCAGGGAAAAAAATGATTGCTTCATCTAAGCTGCTTATCTACTTTCCCATACTTCCTTTTCTTACATAAATTCATTAGAAAAAGTCCTGCTTTATTATGTTACATTTTCTAACAGGTCTAATAAAACAATGTATTGCAACATTTTTGCTGGAGACTTAAGACAGGTTGGAATTCACTTAGCAAAAAATTACTGACCTATTTTTTGTGTAAATGTCGTCTGGTGTTTTCCAGGTATCTACCTTTCATCACTTATATTGGTGAAAGGGATACTTGCATTATTTGATTTTTCTAACACTTTATCTCAAGACCCAAGAAATTATATGAAAAACTTTTAAATAAGAAACATGACCTAAGTAGAAGGATATTTAAATATCAAACAGTGGAAAAAAGAAAGCTGATACTCTAGTAAGTCTAGTAAGAATGAAGAGGAAATGATATAGGGAAAAATTGGGGAAAGTTTAGATGGCAGATTATGAAACTGCAACCCTGCAAGGTTCAGTGGCACACAGCTTGCTAATGGCAGAGCTAGTGCTAGAACTGAGTTCTCTGATTCCTTCCATTGTTCTTTCAACAGCACTGGCTGGAAAAAGAATTATCTGTATATTGGGAAATCAAGGCCATAAGAAGTCATTTGCTGCTTACTAATGGCCCGTAGTCATTAGGTCAGTAGGCTATATTGTTGTCAGAGCCTGTGAGGAAGGCAAGCGTTGTCTTCAGATTTAGAAACTGAGAGCTAGAAGGGAGGTAGAACTTACTACTGTGTTGGAAAAATTGCCACAGTTTTAGCTTAGCTGACATCACCTCCCTTGGTGGTCAATGAAGGAATAAGACCTTGATATCTTCCTGGATTGTTAGGATATTTTAAACCCATAGGACCTGTTCCCCTAAATACACTTCTCTAATTTTCTTTTCTTTGTAAATGAACGTTCTTTATTTTACTGAGAATAAATTATCCAAAGAATAGATGGTCAAGATACAGTTCAGCAGCAGTGTATTATATATGAGAAGACTTAGGTCTTTGGGCATTTGTGTTATCTGTAAGCTTGGTATGGGTTAATAGTGTCTTATGGCTATCATTAAAATATCAATTAGATCTTAGACCGTATTAATAGAAATAATGTGTAGAATAAGAGGAGTGATGGTCCTGCCCTTTGTCCTGGTTAAATCTATCTTGACACACTCTATACTTCAATATCAGTGACTTTTCAGAGAAATGTTGATAAAATTCAATGTAAGTAGAGGGGAGGAATTAGGTGAGGGGATTACAAAGCAAGTCATGTAAGGCATAGCTGACAGACCTGGAGTGTTTAGCATGAGGAAGGGAGGAATTATATGGGATAGGCTGCCTAAGCTAAATCCAAATATATGAAAGACTTATGTATAAAAGAATTGGATTTATTTGGCATTTCTAAGGAACAGACTGGACCAATGGATAGAAATTGCAAGGGGACAAATTTTGGTCAATTTTGGAGAAAAAAGTGGACTGTGGTCTGTCTCACATGGAGGGGCTTGCCTGAGAACCTGTCCCTAGTCATCAGAGGCATTCACGAGAAGCCAGACAACACCTTGGCGTGAGCTGCTATGTGGAGAGAATCCAGGATTGGATGGCCTTGACAGCTTTCCTGGATTCTGTCCCAAGCTCTAGTCTCGAGATCTCACACACATTGACCTTTGTCTCATCAGGATAAAGCATATGGATTTTGGAAGCTCTCCCAGCCAACATGGTGGCCCAAATTGTGCAGTCTATTAAAATCTTAAGTGTGGCAGTTCTTTTAAAAGTAATAAAGACAGTAGTTTTAACTATGTTGGGCCAGGTCAGACTAAAAACATTTTGCTCGTAATGCTGGTTTGCCAGCAGTTTGGCCAATAGTCTTGGGCATCTTGCCATGGTGGTGGTGCTGGGCCCTGGACGGTGGTTCACACAGGGTCCTTCCTAGCGTACCTGCAGAGTAGCAAGGAGGCGTGCTTGCAAAGAGACAATTTCAGTGTACTGTAATCATTCCTGAGATGAAAGTAGGCATAGGGGAACATGGAAGAAATGGAGTGGAGCCCTTAGCTCAACTCAAGTGTTTTGAAACTACCTTCTACAGAAAACGAAGTCCTAGCATTCTAGAATGTGGTCAGGAGCTTCCTCCCTTGGCATCGAGGTGTAGTTAGTGTTGTACGCTAGAGGGGACCCCTTTAAGTTAATGTAACCAGTCAGAAACACTGAAAACTTGTCCCTAATCAAGAAATGTCAGAAGAATAACAACTGTTCTTTTTACTTTATGTCTTTTAAAAATAAAGTGTTTATCCCAGTAATTAATTCACTACCTGCATAGGCCAGAAGAACGACAGCTGTTTTCTCTGTTGTTGGAGGAGCATTGCTGTGACAGATCTGTTATACAGTAGGATGCTAGATCTTCCTAAATACTTAACCTTTTGCCCATGTAGGACAAACAGAAGGAAAGATGATATAAACACTGTTCTTTGCAAATTCTGCTTAGCTGATTCTCATGGCCAGACTGCTAAAAGTGTGTCCTTGTGGTTTTGAACAAATTGTTGGAAAGAGGAAAGACACAAAAACAGGCCTTGCAGCATATCCACTTGAGGATTGTAGAGTTTCTTCTGTGAATGTGTCTATGGGTCATCTGGGAGACGTGAGACCCTTCAGAGATGACTTTTGACTTGCCGTAGGAGCTCCTGAAGCAGGTGTGTGGGGATGTGCTCTCCACCTGTGAGCATCGCCTGGCCAACGTTGTTCTGCAGGAAGGTGGAGCAGGAAACCTGGATGAAGACCTGCTGGTAAGCAGCTGCTCTTGCTAACCATTCTTTTCTCTTCCTTATAGCAATGAGGTGTTATTAAAGATGATTTTATAATGTGTACCTTAAATGCTATTAATGAGAAAAGAGCCCTCCTAGCCTACTCTCTTTTTAAAAGAATTTTTTTATTGATAACCTATTTATGTTTTTCTTACGTACTTACTATCTGGGGGGAAACTTGATGGTAAACACATCATCCAGTTAGATCTCAGATGAAACTTGATTCCAGTAAGGAAAATACAATATGTATTATAAGCTTGGTCAAGTTAAGCTTAGAAATAATAAGGTAAGAAAATAATAAAGTGAATGTATTCTTTATTTTTTTGATTGGTTTGAGTTTTTTAAAAAATTATAACATGTCTTCTGAGCTGTTTGGACATCAGACTGTAGAATTGAGGAATGGTGCTGAGCAGTTGCAAAGTGATGTCTAAAATAAAATGAGAAATTTGACAATTCAAAATACAATGACTCTGGAGCAGCAAAATCACATTACATGGCACCCCTGCTTTAGCCACTGTTTCTATACCACGCAAGAGAGTCCTGTGAGCCAGGGCGTGTTGAGCCAGTTGGCTGTTCTCAGTGGCTGACTATTGACAAAATGTGTTATGACAGTTCTGATTCCAACATCTGACACTGTCCAATAAAGGACATAATGATCTGCTTTTTGATGCCCTTCAGAACAGGCCATCATTTAACCCAAACTGGCCATTTTTCTTGACTATTTAAATGAGTAGAGCACCTCTTTTCTGTGTTCAGTTCCTGCATTGCCAGCCTAGCTCGTGTAGTTCTGATAATCACAGACCAAGTTTAGATTTGTTGAAAGAGAAAAGCATTGTGCCCAGGGCACTACTGTGCACACATCCTTTAATAAAAAGTCTCATTATGAGAATCTGGGCACTTCAGGTAAGATGGCCGTGATATGGGCTTGACTCTTTTAATTTCTGTGGGCAGAGTCACTGCCCACACTAAGAAATATGCTTATTAGGGTCAGTGAGTTTTTCAGCTATTAAATATGTCATCAGAAGCTACTCTTCAATCAAAATATATATGGAGAAGTTTGGCCCTATATATATTGTTTAATTCATGCCTCTTTACATAGGATTTAAATATTTCTTTAATATATTAAGAGATACAGTATGTTCAAGGTTTTTTAAAGCCACATATATCTGTTATTGGCTTTCTTATCCTACAATAAGTGTTTACTTGACATTTTGCCATTCAGTATCACCCTTCAATTTTGGAGGTAAATGAAAAAGAACAATATTATTTAACTGTTAAACTGAATGTCATTAATACACAGTAATGTCAGCTGCGAGGAAGCATAGGTCTCTAAATAGTAAACCATTCTGGAGGACAATTTGGAAATATATTTTAACATGTAAAACAGGCTTGTATACTCTTTAACCCTGGATTTTACTTTTAAGGAAATAGAAGAGCAGTATCCAGGGGAGATGCTTACCAGAGCTCATGTAAACATTTGCAAAGAGTTTCAAACAACTTGTGTTCATTAATAGTGGAATAGTGAAATAAATTATGATGACATCCATGGTTTTTAAATGGCATGTGTATGTAGTCATTAAATTGGCATGAAAGGGTGCCTACTATTCAAAGTAATAATTGCAGACTTCGAAGTAGCATGATTAGTAAGTGTATAAGAAAAGCAAACATAAAGCCATCTGACTATAGAAATACTTTAAAAAAAAGTTGTACATGAAAAATTTTTACAATGGCCATGTATTTTTATGGAACAGAAAGTAATAAATTTTTTTTAATTGAGGGATAAAGTACTCCATGGACATGTCCTTAATCTAGCTAGAGTTAACTTTTCTTTTGCCTTATTTTTACTATAAAACCAATTCTCTTTGTAGGTGAAGTACATTTTTACCTTAGGAGATATAGCTCAACTATGTCCAGCCAGAGTGGAGAAGCGAGTCTGCCTTCTGATTCAGTCCATTCTGGTTGCTTCTGCTGATGTGGATCACTGTAAGGCACTTGAAATCATACTCTGCACCATGCTGTGTTAAGGCTGAGTTAACCGCTGAGGTTTTATCGGTAATCCTTTCTCCCTTCCCTGTAGTACCATCATCTCAAGGTAGCAGTGATGATGCCCCAGCCTGTCACCCACCCTCCCAGGTCAGAGGCTCTGTCATGCCTTCTGTTATTAGAGCACACGCCATCATTACCTTAGGTAAGAAAGCCACGTGGGGAAACGGGGCTTGTGCAGTCAAGTTCTGTGTATAGCTTTTGTCTTAAAAAAAGCCCAGCCATGGTAGTGTGCTATGTGCTGCTAAGTGTATGTTTACTCTAGCTCTTGTGATTTGGGGAGATAATTCTGATAGGCGCACCCAGCTCTGCAGGCATAACAGAGCTGTGGATACATGATGAGTTCAAACAATAAAGCCTGGGAAACTGACAGATACCATGGCTCACACTATACCTAATACTAGGAGCCGTCAGGTTGAAAACTACCCAAGAATGTAAGACTCAGAATGCTCTCTGTAGGGAGCTTTTGTTTTTTTACTAGGATTGTTTGAATTCATTACAGTTATACTTATTCCTGTAATTTTTTTCAATACCTTCACTTGCCTTTAATGTTCCTGTGATTTTTTTATACTCATAATATAGCACTGTGAAGTCTATTCATCAAGAACTATATGCCTGGCACTGTACTGACTTCTGGGAATGAAAAAATAAATTTGAAGTTCACTCTATAAAAGGAGATGGGTTTTTTTAAAATACTTCTCAGAACAGGTAGATGAACTATTAACAGTATTTCTCCATGAATTCAAATTATTGTTAATCTTTAAAACACTGACCTCTAGGTGCTATAATTTAATTTTTTTCCTCAGAGTGATTGCATATTTTATGATAGATAAGATTTATGAACATTTTTGGGGCCAGGCACGGTGGCTAATGCCTATAATGCCAGCACTTTGGGAGGCCAAGGTGGGAGGATTGCTTGAGGCTGGGAGTTTGAGACCAGCCTGAGTATGAGCAAGACCCCATCTCTACAAAAAAAGAAAGAAACAAACAAAAATTAGCCAGGCATGGTGTCATGTACCTGTAGTCCCAGCTACTGGGGAGATTGAGGCCAGATGATTGCTGGAGCCCAGGAGTTTGAGATTGCAGTGAGCTATGATGATGCTACTGCATTCTAGCTTAGGTGACAGAGTGAGACCCTGTCTCAAAAAAAAAAAAAATCTATATATATATATAGATATATATAAACTTTTTTTTGTAATATTGGTTATTTTTCAAATACCTAAGACTGCAAATAAGAACAAAACATTCTCCAGACCACAAAGCAAACATACAAATAAAACCCAGCAGCCCTCCTAGCTATGAATAGGAAATAAAATACATGAGATGAACATTCTTTACTACTTACCTAGCTCAAATTTCAAATTCATTACAAGGTATTTAGCTTCTATAGAGTACATGTATTATCAAAAGTAAAATGTATCATCTATTAGGATTTGTTGGTCATTTTCTAGGTAAGTAGATAACTACAAAATTCAAACATTGACTTTAAAAGGAAGATGATTTTATTAGTGTTAAGGAACATCCCATAGTGTATATCTCATGAAACCTTGTGGGAGTTTATTTTTCCTAAAGGTATTTTGAACTTTCTGATATTTAGGGTTAGTCTGTCTGCTTTTAGGTTTTTGTTATTTGTGATTGTGGGCATGATATTTTAACTTTGATTAAGTAAAATCCATAGCAAGATTTCGCTAAAGAAAATTTAGGCATGGAATTAGGATAGAATAGAAACAAGACATCTTCCTCTCTTCTGTGCCAGGTAAGCTGTGCTTACAGCATGAGGATCTTGCAAAGAAGAGCATCCCAACTCTCGTGCGAGAGCTCGAAGTGTGCGAGGATGTAGCTGTCCGTAACAATGTCATCGTGGTGATGTGCGATCTTTGCATCCGCTACACTGTCATGGTGGACAAGTACATTCCCAACATCTCCATGTGTCTGAAGGATTCGGATCCGTTCATCCGAAAGCAGACACTCATCTTGCTTACCAATCTCTTGCAGGTTCGTATGAGGATTAGACCCTTCCTCTCCTTCACCATTGCTTTTGGTTTAGGGAATATTTGAGTAGCATAGGAAATGTGCTTGCTTTGTAGTATAATAGAATCCCAAAATAATCAGTCTCATCTCTGATTTAAGAATATGACTCTACTAATGTAATAGTACAGCCTTTTAAACAGATCATTACTTGTGAATATTCGTTTTGGTGTTTGTTCAGATATCCTTTCAAGAAGTGTGAAGCTTCATCTTTGCAGATAAATGCCATGTGGAGAAAAGCACTCTCAGTAGACAATTAGTTCTAGTTCCATTTCTGTTATTCTCCTAGACCTTGAACAAGCTCATGTTTCTCAGACTTCACTTCTTCATTTGTTAAGTGGAGGTGCTACTGTTTGTGCTGGGCTGGGTCACAGCGTTGCTCTCAGAGGCCATTGAGATGTCTCAGGGCGTGAGACCTTAGGGAACAGCTAGGTTAGCAGCTCTGTAGAGCTCTACAGAGCATTAGATATTTTTATGTATGCTGAAAACATATGTTTGGCCTGTAATGAGGAGAAAATAATATTTGAATTTTAAAAAGAAGATACTTAAGTACTTAAGTTGTATGTCTGCCCTGGTATGTTTCATACACTCATCTTTTCATGAATCACATACCTTATGGAAGCACCAGTGGCTCTCTCCCTCTAAAGCCACGTGCTTTGAGTCATTTTCCTAACGTGGTAGGTGGTCTGATGTGTTCTATGCACATCCTCCTCCACGTCTCTGTAACTAATAAGTGGCACGTGCTCTCATGATGGCCAGGACATGAAAGCCAGTGTGCTGAGCCAGTGCCCCAGAGACAGATCCAGGGCTGGCGGTAGACTTCTAGTGGTATCACTGGAGAACATCCACGGTGGCTGAGTGACTGCGTACAGTGAAGTGTGTACATTAACATACATCCTGAAATATGCCAATTTCTCTTTGTGCAGGAAGAATTTGTGAAATGGAAGGGTTCTCTGTTCTTTCGATTTGTCAGCACTCTGATAGATTCACACCCAGACATTGCCAGGTAATCTTTTCCTCACATGGAAGACTATTAACAGTTTGCTTCATTTCTGGTATACGCTAGATTTCTTTTCCGTCACATTGATTTAGTGCTGAATTATTTAGGATTTAGTGAACTTTTGGTAGTTGCCAGAAAAGTTAACAGGTTTTATCCTAAGCTATCTAACAAAGCTTTATTTTGTATGCAAGTTTCAAAGAAAAATTCAGATTCATCATTAAATAATCTCAGCATTGACTACATTTGCTACCATTGTTTGCTCTTCCTAAAGGAGTGATGAAGAACAGTATGTGTCTTTGTCATATTAAACTGTAGAATAGTAGCCACTAAATACTGACTTAGCTGTGTTGATTTCTAAGCCAAATAAATGTTAATTTTGATAAAGAGTTCAGGCTTTCTTTTAAGTGCAGAAATTAAATGCAGAAATTCTAGGAATTAAGATGGAATTACATAGTATGAAATCAATATGCAAATTACAAGGCTCCTTGGAAATGGGTGTTTCTTGAGAATTGGACAGGAGGAAAGTTACTTGGCAATTGTTAATTTCTATCCCTGTATCATTTTTTTTGAGATTTATTTTCAAGGGGTTGAGAAATGGTCTGATAGAATTTCCTGCCCTAGATTATGTTATATGAATAATTCTTTTTAAGACAAGTCTGCAGTTGGAAAATAGAAGGTTGAATGCCATTTTAAAAGCCACCACAGTGGGGGAAAGGTCTTTATAGAGTTCATTAACTATAAATAGCCTATAATAATGGGTCCCTCTGGTTCTTAATATAGCTACCAATAATTTAGTCTGGGTTCTATGGAAGAATTTCTGCTCAGTTTTCTTTGAGTATAATTTTCCAAGGAGGAACATTTCACATAGCAAACTAGCAGAAGGTTAACATTCTAATTAACATTGTCTAGAGCCAGAAACAAACAGCTAAGACTCACTGTTTCTTTCCTTGCATAATTGGGAAAGGAACCAAGATAGCTATGCAGTACCCTCTTACCTTCATAATGCATTGGGGTAGTACTGACTCTCATGACCCTATTTACACAATGCATACCCCAGAAGCAGTCATAATGACAAGTGCTTGGAATGTGCTCAGATGATGAGCCTGGGAGGTAAGATTGGTTATTTAACCTGCATTTTTCTCATTTTCCCTCACTTTTGTTAGCTGTTATACATGTATATTACAAAGAGCATTAATCAGTGCCTAAAATATAAGCAGAACCTGCATGCATGGGTGGTCAGGGCATCAATCAGAAAGAAATTAGAAGAGCAGGTAAAGAGATACTTTGTATTGTAGTAAGATTATCAGTGCCTTCTAGCATTTTAATACTTTTCCCTAAGTCTTTCCATTTTATGTCTGCATTCTGGGTTTGTTAAAACACATGGTTCAAATATGGACCATGATTTTCAGCTTCAAAAAGCTGATGACTGCATTTGCTAACTGTAATTTATATTACAGTTTGATTTTTTCCTTTTATTTTTTAGTTGACATGTAATAATTGTGCATATCTATGGAATACAGAGTAATATTTTGATACATATATGCAGCGTGTAATGATGAAATCAGGTAATCAGCATATCCATCACCTCAAATATTTATCATTTCTTTATGTGTGGAATATTCAAAATCCTCTCCTAATGATTTGAAAATATACAATATATTATTGTTAACTGTATTTACCCTAGAGTGCTGTGGGGCAATAGAACTTATTCCTCCTATCTAGCTGTAATTTTGTATCTTTTAACCAACCCTCCCCCTCTCCTTCTCAGCCTCTAATGACCACAGTTCTGCTTTCGACTTCTATGACCTTATCTTTTTTTAGCTCCTATATATGAGTGAGAACATGGTGGTATTTATCTTTCTGTGGCTGACTTCGTCTCCAACATTTTAGGCCAAAGGCTAGGCCTATCTGTTTACATTAAATGCCCTAATGTACATTATTCCTATGTATCTGCTAATGCAGATCTTAGCAAGAGACCAATGTGGCAGAGCCTATTGAATTTTTTTGGTCCAGCTGGATTTCCTAAAGATTCTGGCATGAGCAAGTGATCCTCCTGCCTCAGCCTCCCAAAGTGCTAGGATTACAGGGCGTGAGCCACTGCGCCCAGCTTATATGACATTTTTAATTGGTCAGATAAAGCCCAAATTTGAAAGCTACAAAATTGTATGATATATTTTCCCATCTGCCCACTAGGTGGTGGCCTTGTAGTACAGTAATCACAGAGCGATGGCTAGTAACAAGTGGATTCAGTTTAAATGGGCAACTGCTGCAGAGGTACAAGGAGGCAGGGCAGAGAGAGTCAAGGCAAAAAAATTACTCAAATAATGGACCATTGAGTTGAGATAGAAAAGACAAAGATGGCTTGGTTTGGGAGGAAAGGGGGTTACTCACCTGTGTGGAGGAGTTAGTGGAGTTGTGGAACAAGTTGGATGGGGCCGAGGAAGTCAGACAGCTGGAAGGATCAGCAGGCTGCCCATGAGTGTGTGCTGACAGGGTCCAGGACGTGGCTGTGCATGGTGATGTGGAGTACAGATGAGGTGACTGCAGGCAGTGAAGATAGAAATTTCGGGTGTTACATGAGCGCATCTGTATGGAGTCCTGCTGTGCTTTGAATGGAGTGAAAAACTAGGAGAGTAGAGAGCACAGTAGGCAGGTACAGAGGCTCCAGCAGAAAGGGCTAGAGGCCATCAGCTGGACCAGGTGGGGAAAGCATTGTGTGTCTGTGTCTGTGTGTCTGTTGTAGCCAGTGGCCAAGACTCACTCCCCTCCCTTCCCTGTACCTTTTTCTAGCTTCCGTGTTCTTCAGACCACTTTTGGTGGCACACTGTCTTGTATATAAGGCATCAGTCTGTCCCCTACGTATGGGCTTCCTGAGGGCTGGAGGGGTGTTTTACTGCTATATCCCTGACAACCGAAAGGGAGCTTGAAACCAAGCAGACCTAATGAACATTTGGTAAATGAATGAATGAAGATATTAGGGCTCCGTGAAATGTGGTCCTCATCCTCTATGGGATGTGAGAGATGAAACAGCCTCCCTTTGACAGGGGCAGTAAGAGAAATGGTGTCCTTGGGGGAGAGCCAACTGTCGTTTATGAAGAGGAAGTACAGTGAGTGCTCTTAATCACTTACAGAGGGTAAGGGCTTGATTCATCATGGAACCTGGAGTGCAGAATATACAGTAGAAAGGTTCAAGGCAAGAGCACAAACTCATGGGATGTCAGATGAGGAGAAAAGAAACAGCAATATAGGGATGAGATAGATGTGAGAGCCTAGATAGATAACAGGAGAGGCTTGGATGTGGGAAATGCTTGCTTCAGGCCTCAGACAGAGTTCTGGTATCAGTGGGTCTGAGCCCTCAGTCCTACCCTGAGTAAACAGATGTTGTAGGCCAGATGAGAAACATAAATTCATTAGTGCAGACTTTGTTGAACAGATAAAGTCCTGGTAAATGCAGCAACCAAGATGAGTCCTGGATATTACACTTCGACTGTGGCTTCTGGCTTCTCAGGATAGAAAGCTCTATGATGCTACTTTCAGCCTTGGTATACTTTTTATGTTGCTATTAAGTTTATCTGTATAATTAGTTAAGCTGTTTTTCACTAGGGCTTATACTCTACAGTATTTTTCCAGCTGGTCACCTTTGCCTGTGTGGATTCCTGACCTAGCCTAGTAGATTGGCATTTGACATCAAGTTATTGCTCAAAGCAGCTCCTCCTCTTCCTGAAGAATTACTGACTTTATCTGGTTTTACATTTTCATATAAAATGGCTTTAGATCTAAAGAGAAAGTTCAGGTAGACTTGGCAACTGCTGTGCATGGTAGATTAACTATAATAAAATGCCACAGAAGGTGCATTCTTGTTGTTTGTTTCTTTGGGGCCTGTTTTTTTTTTTCTTTTTTTTTTTTTAATTTTTTTTTTTATTTCGGCATATTATGGGGGTACAGATTTTAAGGTTTCAGTAAATGCCCATTTCCTCCCCTCCCCCCACAAGTCTTAGTCTCCAGCATGACCATCTGGGGATGTTTTTATTTAGTGGTTTTCTCCATTCTTGGCACAGTTTACCAAAGTAACCCTTATTTAGAAGGAACTTCATCTGATGTTGTGACCTTCTTTGTCTCTCAAATCTGGGTTGCTAAACATCATAGTTTGTACAAAATATACCAACTACTCTTAGATCAAACAGGTACTTCTAGCTGGCCTTAAGTGAATTTTTCCTCAGGGAATTCCATTTTTTTAAATAGAGTTTTATTCTGTTTTCATATTTGTGAAAGTCAAGCTGCCTCCTTTTTTCCTAGGTGAATAGTCCAAGTGTGATTATCTGCAGTGAGATTTTTATTGAGGCTTACTTCCATCATGATTTCTCAGCTACCTTCTCTGACTTTTAATTGTTGCGTATGCTATGAATGCAAATGCATTTGAATGTTAGCCTAAGGAACAACAGTAGGGGAAGAGAAACATAAATCTCCCGTCAAGTCCTAATGTACTCCACAGCCATGCGTAAGCCGCAGGGATTGTGGAGAACTGGCTAGTGTTCCTGCATGGGTGGAATTGCATCTGAGCTCTGAAATGAAATTAAAACATTGTTCTTGGTAGTACGAATGGACCACAGTGAGCCCTGCACTACCTTAGGTTGACCCCTGAGCAAAACCCAGCACTTTCGCATTCTCTCAGCTGCTATCATGATAAAACAGAAACTGTCCCGTAGCTATAGTTGAACAGTTTGGCTTTTGTCTATTTACATTTGGCTTTGGAAACCTTCATCAGGTGCTGGTGGCAGCCGTGCCCCTCGTGTGGCACTGCACAATGTGTTGGAGGCACCTGTGGAGGGAGAGCGCCCTGGGCTCCTGAGAGTTGGTTACTTGGAGGACAGTGCTTGCCCTATTGATCCAGACTGTGAGGCTCTTGTCATTAATCCTATTGAAAAAAAGTTCCAGTTACTAAAATTGGTTTCTGTTCATTATTGTGGACAACAAACTTGAAGTGGGGGTATGAAGGCCAGGTGTTTTCTTTCAGGTGACCATTGTCATTGCATCAGCCTTAAGGACCCTGGCTTCTACTTGAAAACGCAGTTTTAGGTGGTTGGTTGGTTTTCCCACTTGAAGTACAGCTGGGTAACAGCACCTTGCGTGAATTTTGAAAGGAAACCTGGTAGAGAAAGCTTTGTACTAACCTTGGATTCAGAAAGCAGCTGGAGAGTGAGGACGGACCAAATAAGCTAAACTTCTCTCTCACGTCTGACCTGATAAAGCTGCTTGTTGAGATAGACTTATCTATCCGTCACCGTTCCGTACAGCTCTGTTCTGCTTGGCAGAGTTCTTGGTGTATTCAGAAGCTGTTGGAGAATAGCAAATGGTCTCTTTTGTTTCTCCTTCCTTACAGCTTTGGGGAGTTTTGCCTGGCTCATCTGTTGCTGAAGAGGAACCCTGTCATGTTCTTCCAGCACTTCATCGAGTGTATTTTCCACTTCAATAACTATGAGAAGCATGAGAAGTATAACAAGTTCCCCCAGTCAGAGAGGTCAGTGAAGCCGCTGAGGTGGTCTCCTTGTCTCTTGGTAAGAGCCGGGGAGCCTCGGGAGGGGTCTGGCTATTTTGTACACAGTAGTTGGACACAGACCTGACCCAGGTATTCATTGTGGTGGTGGTTATTTTCCTTGGCAGGACGGCGTAAGGACTCCTGAGGATAGATTTCTAAGGGAGTGTCTGTGATGAGCACTGAGATCTCAGCAGTGGGCTCAAGCCTTTGGCATGCAGCTTTTAGGATGCCTTAAAATGTTGTATTAAGTCCTTGTCACCCATGCCCATGTGATGCAGTAAAATTGTCCTGTTCTGCCACAGAGAGAAGCGGCTGTTCTCACTGAAGGGAAAGTCAAATAAGGAGAGACGAATGAAAATCTACAAATTTCTTCTAGAGCACTTCACAGATGAACAGCGATTCAATATCACTTCCAAAATCTGCCTTAGTATTTTGGGTAGGCTTGGTGTGTTTGGGATAAAACGTGTGTTTAAAAATGCAGCCCTGTGTTGATAATCGCCCAGCAGGTCTGTAGCAAGTGACAGGAAGACCTCTGTCATCTTGTCCTTGTTTGGCATGGGCTATACCCAGGCAGCCCCCAGTGGCCCTGGCTCTGTGAATTGCACTTTCCCCGTGGGCTGGAGCATTTCTCAGAAGATGGTCTTGTGCGCTTTCTCCTAGCGTGCTTCGCCGACGGCATCCTGCCCCTGGACCTGGAAGCCAGCGAGTTACTCTCAGACACATTTGAGGTCCTCAGCTCAAAGGAGATCAAGCTTTTGGCAATGAGATCTAAACCGGATAAGGACCTCCTTGTGGAAGAAGATGACATGGCCTTGGCAAATGTAGTCATGCAGGAAGCCCAGAAGAAGCTCATCTCACAAGTTAGTGTGTTGTTCTTCCCTAAATAGGCCTGCTCACACCCCTGTGCTTCCCATCTGCCCCCAAAATCTTGATGGTATACCCAAGATCCTGATTTCATTCTTGCTGGTGGCCTTAGCTCTTGCCCAGGTGGTGATGATTCTCAAATCTGCGTTTCCAGCTCCACCTTCTCTCTGAGCCTGATCCCAGTTCTGCTTGCTGCCCGGATGTGCCACAGGCACCGCGGACTTACTGTGTCAAAACCGAGTCAGTCCTCCCTTCCTCCTTCTTCCTTCTCCCTTCACTCCTCCTTCTCCCACAGTCGGTTGTGAAGAAGGGAACCTTTATCTACCAAGTTATCCAGAAGGGAGCCTGGTACCACCGCAGAATGGAGTCTGGCTTGCCAAGCGGTGCTCTGTTTGAGAGCTCTGTTTGAATGGCTTTGAGGGGAGCTCAGTTGCCACAGTCCTCACCAGGCCCAGTGTCTCGTGCCTGACCTGGATCACTGATTTGTATTTCCCACCTGACTCCTGAAGGCTTTGACCCCAAAGAAGTAGACTTTGATCACATCTACTTTGCTAAGAGATCCTGCTTTTTTTTATCATACAGATCTGTCTCTGTGGTTCTGACTTTGTTTGAGCCTGTGCCATATCCAGTAGTTTTCTTTTTCTTTTTTTTTTTTTTGAGACAGAGTCTCACTTTGTTGCCCAGGCTAGAGTGAGTGCCGTGGCGTCAGCCTAGCTCACAGCAACCTCAAACTCCTGGGCTCAAGCAGTCCTCCTGCCTCAGCCTCCTGAGTAGCTGGGACTACAGGCATGTGCCACCATGCCCGGCTAATTTTTTTTCTAGATATATTAGTTGGCCAATTAATTTCTTTCTATTTATAGTAGAGACGGGGTCTCGCTCTTGCTCAGGCTAGTTTCGAACTCCTGACCTCGAGCAATCCACCCGCCTCGGCCTCCCAGAGTGCTAGGATTATAGGCGTGAGCTACTACGCCCGGTCTCCAGTAGTTTTCTTAACACCCTATTTCTAGTTTGTTTCCATTGCAGGCCATGCACCACCTTGCTGCCAGAACAGTCTTTCTTAAGTCCAGATTTGATCATTTATTCTCCTACTTAAAATAGACTAGAGGCAGGTCAACTGCAAGGGGCAGTGGGAGCTTTTGGGTCATGGATTGTGGGTCTGTGGTGCTGGTTATTTAGTGTAGACTTCTGTCAAAACTTACAAAACTGGGCCGGGCGCGGTGGCTCACGCTTGTAATCCTAGCACTCTGGGAGGCCGAGGCGGGCGGATTGCTCAAGGTCAGGAGTTCAAAACCAGCCTGAGCGAGACCCCGTCTCTACTATAAAAATAGAAAGAAATCAATTGGCCAACTAATATATATATATAAAAAATTAGCCGGGCATGGTGGCGCGTGCCTGTAGTCCCAGCAACTCGGGAGGCTGAGGCAGTAGGATTGCTTGAGCCCAGGAGTTTGAGGTTGCTGTGAGCTACGCTGACACCACGGCACTCACACTAGCCTAGGCAAGAAAGCGAGACTCTGTCTCAAAAAAAAAAAAAAAACTTACAAAACTGTTCACTTAAAATGAATGGGAAAATTTATGGTATATAAGTTATGCCTCACTGATGATATCTTTTAAAACTATGTTGGTGGCTTCCTGTTGTCTTATACATAAAACCCTGATTCTTCTTCAAGGGCACATGGAACTCCTGGTGTTCCCTCCAGCCCTCCCTCTGTCCTTGCTCCTGGCTGCTGTGCACTGCTTCTCCTGCCCCCGCATCCCCTCACACCCTCAGTGTCACCTTCTCCAGTGCGCGCCTTCCCAGGCATCCCACCTTTATACTTACACCCCCAGCACCCTGCCACTCATCACCTCATGCCATTTACTGTGACAGACGTACACTGGCGTAGGAGCAGCCACAGGGCAGGGATTCTTGGCATCATTTCTGGATCCCTGGAGGTTATCTCTCTGCCTGGAACAGAGAAGATGCTTGATAATACTTGAATGAACACATTTAAACCACTTTTTAAGACTAAACTAAACTACCAACTGCTCAGATTCAATTTTATTCAATTGTTTATCTCTCTACATATTACCCTCCTGTTTCAGGAACTCTGATAAGACTTTTTAGAAATCAGTGGTTTACAAGAAAGAAACATACATGAGATTTTAAATGAGAAGAAAGAGTACTTTTAGCTTCACAAGGATAAAACTTACATATATGTACTATAATGAACTATTTTTAATTCTAAGAAATTTATTGCAAAATATTTGTGGTTAGTGATCATTCAAGGTAAAGATCTTGAAGACTTGCTCAAATTTAGGTACTACATAAATATGTAGAACTTCCTGAATGTGTGCAAAATTACACATACAGATAGAGAAAGAGAGAGAGAAACAAAGCTGGCTGTCTTCATGCCTAACCATTGTTAGACCATTGTCCTTTCACCAGCAGGAATAAAGAATGTCTCTCTGGGCAGCCAGTGTGACCTGGTTTTCATTCCAAAAGGGAGGATGTCAAATGGAGGGACTGAATGTGGAGCATGAACCCAGGCTCATGATGGGTTTGTTTGGAGATTTAGAGCTTTTTGCCAAGTTACTTAACATATTTCTAATTCCTTTTGCTCAGTCAGAAAATATGACTAGTATTTATCCTGCCCTACTTTACAAAGCCTTCTTAGTGTTTTGAGGTAATGCTTATAAAGTCTCCAGGAAAAAAGCAGGGAGTCTTACACAGTGCCAGTATCATAATCAAAAGTAAAAAATAAACTTAACATAGTATGATAGATTGGCTCTACTAAAAGAACTAGATCAAGGAAAATTCTTTGCCTTTCAGAAGTTTATACATCTAAGGCATGCCTTTGTTTGTGTTACTGCAGGTTCAGAAGAGGAATTTCATAGAAAATATTATTCCAATTATCATCTCCCTGAAGACTGTGTTGGAGAAAAATAAGATCCCAGCCTTGCGGGAACTCATGAACTATCTCAGGGTAAGGATGAGCTTGTGCTTTTGGGGTCATTGTCCCCCTGCAGCTCATCACTGAGGATCTTCTGCCAGTTGTGATGGTTCTGTTAGTGGATGATAACTCCAAATGCTACAAAACCCAATATTACCTTGGTTTGTGTAGAGAGACACTTGCCAGACAGGCCTGTGGCTAGGGAGGAGAAGATGGAGAGTTTGACTGTGGGTTCCACTGAAGTCACCCCTGCCCTTTTCCACACAGCTGGGCTTCTAAGAGCTGACCCTCTGTGCTGAGGCAGGCACATCCTTGGTGGGATTAGATTCCATATTGAAGACCTTCTAAGCTGGGGTCAGAACAAAGTCATCATCGTAGGTCAGCCTAGGGAGGGGTAAAATGAAGGTTGGTCATCATATTTAATTTCAGGGTGTTTACCTCTAACACAGTCTTAGGTTGACAAGTCAGGAAATATAATAGATGCCCCATAGTGACTGCCTCAGGGTCTGCCACAACCAGCCTGGCTTCGCTGTTTGCGTAGCAGGGGCACTGTGAGAAGGCCCAGTCTGGGCAAAGCCAAGATGTATTGACTTACAGTGCAGAACCAAGTGAGGCCTCGGGCCTTTCTGCAAAATCTGCTATTCAGAAAGAAATGCAATATTTTTTTTTATTTAATTCAACAGAGTTATTTCTTTGTTGATGTTATGTGCTTTTCTTTCTCAAAAAATACTGTGAATTTTTTTTCCAAAAAGGCTAAATGAAATTATTGAATGTAGTTTTTCAAATAGCTTTTTACCCAGAGAAGCTAAAGTGGGAAGGAAGCATTGTATGGCAAAAATAAGAACTTCTAATTATTCTTATATTTCTGTTGCCCTGTTTTAGACCTCAGAAAGGAAAAAGAAAGAGCTTAGATCCCAAATAGACTACTTAAACATTCAAGAAAAGGAAGTCTATCTCTTGTTTCTGGGCACATGTTCAGAGGATGGCCACACAGTTGCTTGATAGTACAGTGATTCTCTTCTTTAGCCTGTGGAACCCACTCTGAGTGGCAACTGGAGAGATGATGGATTGCCTTCTCTTTGTTGGGATTTCCCTCCTGGTTGGAGTTGCAATAGAAATTTTTTAGCAAAGTGGCCTTGTCCCTAGTAGACCTCTTTAAGACCTAAGAATGTTCTTACCCAGATATGATAAAAGATTTTCTAGAAAATCTTCAGAAGAGGACACAAAAAATTGGATTTGAGCCTTTGTTCTCATCCCCTGTGAGCCTATGGGGAAAGCTAATGTAGGCAGATGAGCAGCTTTTAGACTGCACTGCTTCCTGAGACTTGCTCCAGTGAAAACCTTGGAGATTTCTTGCTAACTGGCAGATAGACAAGAAGTTTCCCAAGAGATCAGAACCGTTGGTTAATATCTCACATCATGTTCACCTGCTTCTGTGGTCTTCATAAGTATGTATGGTTGGCGTTTCCTCAGAATATTCCATTATACCTGTTAGTTAGTATAATGGAAATAGTCTGTTTTCAGTAATGTAAATCTTCATTTGCTCATAATATGAAGATTCCATTCCAAAAAAAGTGTTAAATGGAGAAAGGGGAACACTTACACATTGTTGCTGTGAATGTAAAGTAGTACAGCCACTACGGAGAACAGTAATTTTATAAACAATTATAAATAATTATTTATAAATAATAATAATTACTTATAATTGATATTATTATTTATCAAGTCATGTTGGAGACCTTATGTTTTTATTCAAGAAAACATTAAAGGATGCTTCTGGGTCTGTTTCAGGAGGTTATGCAGGATTACCGAGACGAAGTCAAGGATTTCTTTGCAGCTGACAAACAACTGGCATCAGAACTTGAGTATGACATGAAGAAGTATAACGAACAGCTAGCCCAGGAGCAAGAGCTGGCGAAGCAAGCAGATGTGAGCAGGATGGCTGAAGGCACCGATGCAGTGCCAGCAGTGCAGGTAGCTGTGAGGCCTGCCTTCAGCTTGCCCTGACTCCCAGTCTGCTCTCTGCTGTCAGTCTGTCCAACATTTCTTAAAATTCACATATGATCAGAGGTTGGTCAGAGCTAGACCTTTGGGATTACTACTTGTTGGCCACTACTGCGTGTCTTTGTTGTAAGTGATAGATACACCAATAGCTTGAGGCCTTCTGTCTCACAAAGCTATGGCTTGGGAATTTGTCTGGAAGGTCATTGTAATGATAGTTGGGAGAATCGTATGAGTGCCAGAAAGCAAGCTGGCAATAGGGTTGTTTGGTCTTTGGTCACAGCAACTGTAGACACCTAGATCTGCCTGGTGTCTGAGTTTCTTGTCTTTCTCCAGGCAGGCCCCTCTCTAGAGCAGATCATCCCTGGGGGCGTTTCCATGTTAGCTGCTGCTCCAGGTTAGGAGCATAATGCTCTCACTGCCCTGAGGAGTCCAGACGGATCTGTATTAAAAAGTGATGAGGACAAACTAACTTATTCCTTTTTCTCTTTACTGCCACAACATCTACATGTGGCAATTTGCTAATAATATTCTGTTTTTGAAGAGGAAGTTCTACTTGCCCAGGGATGATACGGTTTTAAAATAGATTACTTATGGACTTGCTCATAGCATGTGAAGGTTCCATTCCAAAAAAAGTGTTAAACAGAGAAAGGGGAACACTTGTATACTGTTGGTGAGAATGCACTGTAGTACAACCACTATGGAGAAAAGTATGGAGATTCCTCAAGAAACTAAAAGTAGAACTCCCATATGATCCAGCAATCCCACTGTGGGTATGTATGGAGAGGAAAAGAAATCAGTATGTCAAGGAGACATCTGCACCGGCATGTGCATTGCAGCACTATTCACAATAACCAAGAGATAGAAGCAACCTGAATATCCATCAACAAATGAGTGGATTATGAAAATGTGTTACCTATGCACAGTGGAATATTATTCAGCCATTAAAAGGAATGAAATCCTGTCATTTGGTACAACATGGATAAACTTAGAGGACATTATGTTACAATAAGTGAAATAAGCCAGTCACAGAAAGATAAATGCTTCATGTTCGCACTCATATGTGTGAGCTAAAAAAGTAGAACTGATGGAAGTAGCGAATTGATTGGTAGTTATCAGAGGCTGGAAAGGGTTGGGGAGGGGAGTGAAAAGAAGTTGGTTACTGGGTATAAAACTACAGTTAGGTAGAAGGAATAGGTTCTAGTGTTTAATAGTACAGTAAGGAGATTATCATTAACACTGATTTATTACATATTTCAAAATAGCTAGAAGAGAAGAAGTGAATGTCCCCAACACAAAGAAAAGATACTTGTTTGAGGTGATGGATATCCCCATTATCCTAAATCATTACACATTGTAGGCATGTATCAAAATATCACACGTACCCCCAAAATATGTACAACTATTATGTATTAGCCTTTTTAAAACTTTAAAAAGTATTAAAAGGTAAAACTCTGTTTATTTTCTCTAACAGGTTGCTCCACGTCTAGAAATAATGCCAATTCCTGCTGGCCAAGAAAATCCCACCGTGTCCCCTGCTGTGAGGCAGCCCTCAACACCTGGGCCAAGCACTGGCCATGTACCAACTCTGTCTCCTGTACCTGAAACTGGGCCATTGAACAGGTTGATGCCCAAAGCCAGGTAGAGGGCCACAGGGTCACTGAGGGGGCTGATTGTGTGTTCTCAGAGGCGGCTCTGCTGTCCCAACCAAGCGTCAGCAGGAGTGTCGTCGCTGTCTGCCCCTCTCTTCACATTCTACGCTGGGAGGTTGGAACGCGCGTGGCTGAGGGATGCTCTTGAGCAGAAGTGGGTGGGGACTGCAGTGAGAACCTCGGTGTCTCTTCTCCTCACAGGCCCATGTCCCTGAGCACCATTGCAATCCTGAATTCTGTCAGGAAGGCTGTGGAGTCCAAGAGCAGGCATCGGAGTCGGAGCTTAGGAGTGCTGCCTTTCTCTTTGAATTCTGGAAGCCCAGAAAAACCATGCAAGCAGGGTAAGCCATCAGTTTGGCACCAGACACAGTGAGAGCATAGAGATCAAAAAACAGAACAAGCCTGCTTCTCATTCCTTTAAAATGGTTTCTATTTTCTTATCTTAAAAACAATATTAATTGGGCAGTTAGGATTATGGGTAATAAAACTGCATATTTATTCTAAAAGATTTGGGAAATAGTGAAATATATAACTCACACACAGCAGTGAGGTATTCATTCCTCCAGCTTTCTGCTCCTCACACACACCTTTTGTTTCACTTACGAAATTGTGATCTTAGTGTGCATTGTTATATGACCTGCTTCCTTATACACGCTTACACTAAGACATAGTACAAATCTTTCCATGAAATTTTCTTTCAAAACTTTACTCCCAATGGCTCTGTAGCATTCCATATTTAGAAGTATCAATACTTGTTTATTGCTACCCTATTGTAAACATTGGTATTTTTCAGCTTTTTTTTTAATACTCCTAGAGACAGATCAACTTTTTAATACAAATAATGCCACAATAAACATCCTTGTACGTATAGCCTCGTATGTATGTGAGCCATAGGATTAATTTCCAGCAAAGACCATGAATATTTTAAAACTTTGATAGTGTCAAACTGTCTTCCATAACTTGTGCCAAATTATACTTTTACAGGAGCATCCATTTTCCTACTTACAAACCCTGGTTTTATGATCTCTCATTGTCTTTGCTGAGCTTTCTAGACCAAAAGTGGTATGGTTTTAATTTCCATTTTTTTTAATCCTAATAAGAATGGACTTTTTTCCCTCAAATTTGTATTTATTTTTATTTCTTTCTGAATTGCCTTTTTATGAGAATACTTTAAATATTGGGAATTTTAACTTTATCATATATCTTATAAATGTGTTTTTTCATTTGGTTGCTTTGTTCTTTGATATTGTTTTGAGTTTTTTTGGACAGATAAAACTTTTTAAATTTTATCCTAGCATCTTCATACAGCTTGGAGCAAGAGTCCAGTGGAGCTATTGAGCATGTAACTAAACGGGCAATCAGTACCCCTGACAGTAAGTAACCAACTTGAATAAGTTGGCTTCTCCTAGGTCTCCCCTACAGTCATTATTTATTTACTAGAGTTGTAGTAAAACTTTTCCCTGTTGTAAGGTAGTTCTTTTATTAAATAATTGGCTAAAGGTACTTCTGATGGTCAAAAACATTATAGTGAGTTATTCAGACTGAATGTTTCAAGGTCATCCTAATAATTTGATTAACTGAGCATTTATTGCATGTTGAGCATTCTTAGTGTTTTTGCATGCATTAACTCAGCTAAACTTCACAATGACCTGTGAGGGACCCTCACGTGGCAGGTGGTGACGTCAAGGTACAAAGAAGTTAGCTTACCAATCTAGACAGTGCCATTCTGGAGGCAGCCCTCCTTGGTGTCCCTGCTGTCTAGGTACACTTGGTGCTGCCGAGCCAAGTCTGCTCTGGGCAGTGGGCAAATGTCAGCACTAGCACCTTCATTTCGAAGTATAGATGAGTTAGATGAGTAGAATATTTCTTCCCATTATTTTGTTATATAGCTGCTTCTTGTCTCAAGCCCCATAAAAACCATTATTTTGAGAAAATTATAGTATGAAGAAACTCTTAGCCAGGCATGGTGGCATGTACCTGTAGTCCCAGGTGCTCGGGAGGCTAAAGTGGGAGAATCTCTTAAGACCAGTAGTTCAAGGCTAGCCTGAGAAACATAGACCCCATCCCTTAAAAAAAAAAAAAAAAAAAAAAAAAGAAATTCCTACTGTCCAAATTTGCAGTGTAGTTTCCAAAACCCCGCCTGGTGCATCCCTGCGTGCCCCGTATTCTCTCCACCCCATCCGTGTCCTGGTCCTCTTGGAATGCCAGCAGCAGAGCACACTCCCTGACCCGGCCTTCAGGTACCACATCCCATCTGGATCACCCCTCCCTGACCTCCAGGCCAGAGTAGGCCCCCCTTCCATGCCATGGCACTGACCTTCTCATGACATTCACATGCTCCTGTGTTCATTGCCCACCCTGGCCATTCACTTCTCTACAGAGCCTACCCCAGTTCCTGGAACCGTTTAGCGGTCAGCTGGATGGCAGAGCTGGGAGCTCAGGCCTCCTGGTCCCACTTCTGTGCCCTGTCCCAGCCTCCCTCCAGTCCTAATTTTGGGCATAAGGGGATGGGAACAGAGCAGCGAGGCAGCACACTGTTCATTCAGTCACATCTTAGACAGTTCCTATATTTGAGCACCTACTGTGTTCTAGCTACTGGCTATTGGTTCTTTACCAGTGATGCTGTGGTCTTAAGGAACATTTAATGGATTATAGATCATTTTCATCCAGGTCCCCCTTTTAGAGGACATTGTCCCACCCCACCTTCCCTCAGATGACAACCAAATCACGACAGCTTTTGTCATTAAAGGCAGTGGGTAATTTTGGGTACGTATATATCAAACAGAGGCAATGTTGTGTATAGAAAAACAGCAGCCTCTTTCAGACAGAAGAGTTTTCTGTATGTTCTGTGTCCCTGGCTCAGGAGTAGCCAGTGCTTCTGTTTTGGCAGTTGGGTACCATGTGCTGAAGAACGGGGAGAATGCAGCTCACTCGAGTTTTGCCATGAGCCCCTCATCAATCTGTGGCTGGTCCTTAGCAGCCTGCGTTCCTCAGCGGTGGAACCTGGCGAGGCGTGTTAATGCTGCTCTCGTTTGCATGTGTGGAGCCACCTTTGCAGTGAACATAAGACTCTCAGGTGTCATCGGATCGTGGAGTACTTGTTCTTTCTTTAGCCTCGAGGGTAGAAGTCCTGTTGATGCAATTTCTGGCCATCTCTCTTTCTGCTGAACCAGGAAGAAATGCTTGAAGAAGGGTCTCTTATTAGCTCTCCTAGGAAGAATTACTAGACAAGTTAAAAGCAGTTAGTTCTGCTTTCTCTGTAGTTTATAAATACAGATTCTTTTGACAACTCTAAGTTTAAGTGGGGGTGACTGTCAGGAAGTGTCTCAGCTCTTTAAAGCTAGTAGGAGAAAATGCCACCCGGCTTAATATTGCGGCACACCAATGGTATTCAGCACAAACAAAGTGGTTTTGCTAATAGAAATGAGTTAAAAAGCCTAGGATTTTAACTGAAAGTCTTTGGGAGCGTCTAGCAAGTCCCTCTTACTGCTGTAATTTAGACAGCAAAGATGCTTCTGCCTTTGATTCTAAGAGCAGTGCATTAGGAATCTAAGAGCCACCACACGGGCTTTTGTAAAGGTGGGAGACTTACTACCTGGAGTGCACACAGGCTTCCAAATGGGAAGAGCAATGTGTTTGCAAGGAAAGGGTTTTCTTATGACAGCACAAGGCAAGACCTCCAGAAACAGGAATAAGACCTGAGCTGTCTTCATGGCAGTGATGAGGATAGAGTTCTCCACCAGTCTAATAAGGAAGCTTGAGTAGCTATCAGGTACATAGCACTGCAGTGCACTGATGAGCTTTAAAATGTAGACTAGCTTTAAAATGTAGACTAGAAAGATACAGTCTGTACTCATAAGAAGATAAAGTATGCAGAGAACAGGAAGAACTCTGAAGCTTACTTCACTAATGTGCTTGCAAAAAAAGACAGCAAGCTCAGTGGGCATGTGCTTTGTTCCTGAGACGGGAGCTTATACAAACATACAGCGCCACAGGGGCAGGGCTGCACCATCTGGGTCTTTCAGAGTCTCAAAGACAGAGTGGTTTGCCAAAGTCAGATTGGGGGGGGGGGGCAGAGAAGCTGAGTGTGCAGACACAGGCCTGCTTAGCAGCTTGGACAGGTGAGCATGGGTGGATCATAGCACACGTGCGCATTTGTGTGTGTGTGTGTGTATGTGTGTATCAAGTGAGTCTGTAAAGTTCGCTTGTGGCCAGTTCAGTGTGAGTGTTTGTGCACACACGTGTGTGTGCGCGCGCACATGCACGCGCTTGCGCATCAAGTGACTGTAAAGTTCGCTTGAGGCCAGTTCAGATCGAGGGTGGATTTTGGGCTTTCCTTAAATGGAGCTATCAAATTGTCTAAGAAGGACAGTAACTTTACCAGCTTCTTAATTAAACATAATTCCAGTATGGGGAATTATGACGTAGGGGATAGTAGCTATTAAATCACAGTAGTTACTAACATTTCTTCAGCACTTAGCTATACCAGATACTGTGTTAACACACTGACTGCCACACAAAAAGGTCAGAAATTTTCCTTGGGGCCACAGTATTTTGTTATAAAAATAGAATAAAAACTTTGAGTGTAATTTAAAGGTAAACATAAATAGAAAAACAAAATTTATCACCTTCTATTCATTTAATCCATGTTTTTAGAATTGTCAATATTAATTTTAACAATCAGAACATCAATAAGATTTTGTATATGCTTCATGCGTCCTGGGGGTCAAAACCAGAGTGAGTTAAATACAACTCTCATGGCAGTTACTGTGTTAAACACCTTACATAAATAATCTCATTCAATTCTGACAGCTTCCCTGTGAGGTAGGTACATTTTTATCTCCATTTATGAGGTGAGGAAACTTGAGGTTGTCAGAGAAGTTCACACAACTGGTAAGACACAAAGCCAGAGTTCACAGCGCATCTGCTCGACAGTCTGTGGTCCTGACACTTGCTCTCCTGCCTTGAGGGTGAACTGGAGAGAACGGCACCTGGGAGAACCGCCCCTGGGAGAACGGCACCTCAGAAGTTCAAGGGCTGGGGGGGAGAGGCAAGGGGACAGGAAACCAGGAAGAACACACTTGGAAGGTAGAATTGATAGGACTTGGTTATGGATTCCATATGGAGAAGCCTATGCTGCCGTATTTCTAGCTGGGGCGGACCGTTTATTGGCTAGGAATATGGAAGGAACATGTCGTGGAGTGGAGCTAATGAGCTGGTGAAGTGTCTTCAGGAGAGCCAGGTGAGGCACAATAGGAATTGTAGAACTAGGGCTCAGGAGGGAAGTCTTAGCTGGAGTTGACAGCCACTGGCATACGGACAGTCGCAGAAGACATGGATGGGGTTGGGGAGAAGCCAGAGATGGTGAGCAGTGATTGATCAGAGGCCAGTGGAACAGCCTAAGGAGGGCCATGGTGAGAGAAAGGAAGTCAGGAGAGACCCAGATGAGAGTTCACAGGAGGAAGGAGCTTTCAACAGTGTCAGGCCCTGGGCCAAGGTTGAGGTGACAGGTAGGACAGAAACCTCTTGATGCCTGTTTCCTACCAGCTTTTAACTAACAATGGTGTTTCCCCTTTACCCAGAGACCATCAATGACGTCACGTTTGGAGCAGGGGTCAGTTACATAGGGACCCCACGGACTCCTTCAGTCAAAGGCAAGTTCTCAGTTTCCTTCTAGACTGATAGTTAGCTGCCTTTGAAGTTCTGGGAGTACTGAATTTGTGTTTGACTCCCTTCCAGAGAAAATTGAAGTCCAGAATCAAGGAAATGACATTTTATGTTTATCATTGCCTGATAAACCGTAAGTTTACCAAAGAATTCCTTTTGAGGTGACATTTTTGCCAGGGTTTTTCTTTTAGTTCCAGAATGACTATAACTTGTGTTTCCTAGGCCTCCTCAGCCCCAGCAGTGGAATGTGAAGTCTCCAGCCAGGAATAAAAACACCCCAACCCCCAGCAGGCGGTCCCTCCGAAAGACCCCTCTGAAGACAGCCAACTGAAACGGTGCATTCCAGGCAGTGCCCAGGACGGCAAGAGCCCTTGAGGAAATGTTTTGTTTCCTGCACATGGAAAGGCAGACGGACGCCTTTCCATACACCTGGAGTGATGCTTCATCACGGAACAGCAAACCCCGCAGGATCCCAGCACTCCAGCTGTTCATCTCCTTGCAGCCAGCCTCCCTTTTACACTGCCCTTTATGACATCTGTGGTTAAAAATTGTAAAATAATAGAGAAATGCCAGATTTAGATTTTCTATCCTAAACTTTAGCTATTTCATATTATAACTGTATTCCATTTTAAAGCGTCATGTCCATTTGGATAAGCTATTATCTGGTCTTTAAGGAACATAACTCAAAAACTTTAGCTTTCTTTTATAAATCAGGCCTCTATCAGTGCGTTTGAATTCCTTATAGTACATATTTTCCCGTATCTAATGATAAAGTTTTGATTATAATATTTTTTCTATTATTTATAATTGCAGGTTTTAAAAACAGTATAAAGCTTTCTAAAATGAAGTAATAAAGATTTATCACAAATACAGCCTTCCAGTATTCAATAGGTTTTTTTTCTATTTTTAGAACAGGGCTTTTACTGGTAGTCATTTTAATTTTATATAAAGTACTTAAGAATGAAACCAAATCTTTTCTGTTAGGAAAAAAAATGGTTTCACTTATCTTTAAGGTTTGGTTCATCCACACACCTGCTTCTGCTCCTATATAGAAGCTGTCTGCCTCCCAGTAACAGACATCCTTGTTAGTACACAGATGTGGTTCCTGTTATGAAAAAACGGCTTTGTGCCCTTCTCCAGGGTGCACTGCGGCTGATTTGTGTAACACTCTGCCAAGGACTGCTCCCACAATGGAGATATAACCTGAGTCTCTTCTTCTGTTGGCACCATCAGGGAAACTTGAAACACTATCCAAGAATGTCCAGAAATAAATGCAATTGGTTCATTTTTTAATCCCAATATTATAAAAGCAAAAGTACAAAGTTCTGCTTAGCTGTGTTTTTAATATAAGCATAGTGGTAGTTTTGGGTGCCATTGTGTTCCTCCCACAGCACTCTTATACGTGAACCATGACATAGGTGGACTTGTCATTGGTATAGCAAGTCGCAAAGCTGCTCTTGAGTGAACAGACTGACCACCAATCCAGGTGATTTCTCTGGTAGACAGTGGTGGGACTGTAGTGTTTTCAGTATATGTGCCTAACTAACAAAACGCTAGGAAGAAGAGGTAAACCCAACATGGAAGCAAACAAGAAAGAATGAAATGAAGTTTGACATATTTTTTAAAGCTTTTATAAATGAGGTTTAACAAATACCAAATGACAAGTATGTTAGTACAAGTCTGTAACATCTATGTACAGCAGCATCCATACCAAAGGCAGAGTCACAGCCTCGTATAGTCACTCCTTCCAATACAGGAGTGTTCTTTCCTTCTACAGTCTTACAGTCGTAGGCAACTACTTCCCAGACTCCACTTTTCACTTCTCTCTACTTCATCCGACCCAGTTCCCATGGCACAAGGGTAAAAGGTTTTAGGATATGAGAAAGGGAGGGAATAAGGCTACCCTATCACTATGACAACCAAGGAGGCTAGAGTGTTATTCCCCCACAGTTAGATTGGGGAGCTATCCCTTTCTACCAAGATGAAACGATGAAGGGAGAGTCTTAATTCTAAGCATTTGAGATGCAAAAGCAGACAGGTAGCATTGAGCAACTGCCGAAGAGGTGCCTGCTGCTCTGCCAAATGTCTCATAGCCAAGTATTTCACATAACTTAAAAAAGAAAAGTCAACATAATCTCAAGTATTCAATTTTAAAAAAACTGTCAAAGTATAAAAAATTAAGACACTGAGAGCTGAATCACAAAGTGACTAGGATCTCCTACATGAAAACCATCCTTCAGGCCCACAGCGGAACCAGGTGCTCCTGAGAAACTCCTTGCTTCAAACCATGTCACATCACGGGTCTGGCACAGCAATGTATTTGGGGCTAAGAACATCCCCTGCTCTTGAAGAACAAAGGCTTCTGGATGATGTTTCTAATGGCCCCCACAAAGGGAGCAGTGTCTGCGGTAGATAAAAAATTTAAAATCAAAATGAGAAACCTGCTTTTGATTCAGGCATTTTACTTCCCATCAGGCTGCACCACCTGACATTCTCCAAAAGGCCAGCCTGGCCACCACAGGACAGTTTGTTAGGAAGGAGATGTTAGAACCTGCGGTGCTCAGTGCTTTCTGCATGGCAAAGAAGAACAGTGGGATTCATTTTCTTTTAAAAGTATTATTGTAGTTGACAGATTTTATTTCAAAATTGCCTTTGGCCCTGGATAGTACTAAAGAACTACACAAATAATTAAAATGAACTTTAAAAACAAACAGCAGTAGCTGCTTTGTTCTGTGAGCCATCCACAACCAAAAAGAGGTCTGTCACAGGAACCCAAAGGTCGGGATGCTACATGGAAGACACCAGCTTTTCTAAAGTATCCACCTTCAAACTCCTGAAGGAAACCAAGTGCCTCGGGGCACCTGAACGACACATTAAAGCGAGTCAGGACACAAAGCCACAGTCGAGGCTTTAAAGGTGGCAGTGAGTATTCTACCCAGCACTCGGAAGGTAGGCGGCAGTACTGATCTAGAGTGGTGGCACTCGTGCAACCCTAGGAGTTGACCAACATGGTTTGTGTGTACGTCTAATGGCTTCTGGATGGTCTCTAGACATAGGTAATTTTGGTAATCTCAGGAAAAGGCAGTTCAAAGCTAACCCTAGAGCTACTTGGGTTTCTTCTGGAGAGATGCAAAAATTTTAACATTGCTCAACTGGAATTTTTGAAGGTTTCCTAAGCAATCTGATGTGTAGATAAACAGCATTAAGTTCTCTTGTGAAAAATGCTAAACCATATGTGGAAAAAGGAATGTTCTAATAAGCCTCCATTGGGTAAAATATTCTTAATTACTGATATTTGCCAATTTAACACTAGTGGCTTGGAACTTTGACCGTAGTTGAACTTATTTAAAAAAATATGTTATTTAACATTATATGACAATCTATTTACACTTTAAATAGAATTTTCTTTTCAATAATGAAAATACATCCTTAGCAAAAATTTAGAATGTAAAATTTTATAAAATAAACACCACCCCATAGAAAAGCATATTTCAGTACCATTTCTAACTTAGCCTTAGATAAAAGTTTTCCTTAAATCCTGATACCCTTCTGGACAAGCAGGGTTCCTCAGGTAAGATCCCTCTTTCAGCAAGCAATTTACCTTCTTGATTTTGGTTGTTTTTTAATAAAATGCTGATCCAAAAAGATTCCCCAGGATGGACACGACAACACTGATCAACAGAGCCTGTAAGAAGGAACTGCAGTAAGGTCTGTGGGCTAGTGGAACAATGTCATTGTGTAAAAAGCCTTTTCTGGATTCGTTGATGCAAACTCTGTGGCTACCAGGTTTCATGCTGTCACTCACATTGCTGAGGCTACACTGCTACCGCGTCACCTCACACGGTGCTCATCCTGGCCGGTGAACAATCAGTGGCAAACAAATTGGCTTCACAGGTCCACAGCACCCAGCACAGGAGAGTTTATGTGAACCAGAGCTATAAGATCACCCTAATACTTATGTGGGAACCAGGCCACCAGCAGACCGGGAATCCAACTCAGTGAACACGTTCAGTTTCTTTTCCTTATGGTTACTGTGTCCATCTTGAGGAAAATTCTTTTATTCATGTGACTTGTTAGAGTAAGAAAGGAATAGTGGTCAATATTGCCCAAAACAAAAAGCTTCTGCATGACTGTCTAGCTCTGTCCAAGTGCACCCGGCTTGTGGCGGCCCTTGACAGGAGTTTCTAGCAGAGGTATTTGCATGTTCTCTCGGCCACACCGCCAGGTCTCAGATCACAAATGATGACTTGTGTCTGAAGTCGCCCTGCAAAGCCAACACAAAGTTAGAACCATCAAGGGGCCAAGTGGGACAGTGAGAAAGGAAAACACTAGTCAAATCTAACATGGGCTAAACATTGTCCCTGATAATAAAAATAGGGCAAAACTACAAACAAATGAAATAATCATTCTTAAACAGTAACATCTGCTAACATTTGCAAAGCACAGATCCTGTGAATGTGTGCATGGTACTGTCACAGGCTGAATACTCAGGATCTGCACTGTCACTCAAATCTGGTTACTGGACCCCCTTGGTTTCCACGGAGAAATGTCATTTTCTTTGCTGAGTACACCTAGATTTCCAGGTTTCCTAAATGATTACCTCTTCATCTGTCCTGATATAGTTAACTCCATCTGGCTTCCCTGGGTTCTTGTAACTGTGAATAGGAAAAGAGGACAGTTCAGTACCATGGTTATAGTGACACCAGCTTAAACTGTGCTTTTTATCACAGAAAACAGGCTCACCTTTCTCCATCCTGTTTATTGTTGATGAAGTAGCCACGTCTGTATGCACAGCAGATGCCCAAAGTAATCAGGGCCAGTACTGCAAGGACAACCAGAACCCCACCAATAATGCCGCCAATGTTCAGGTCATCTGAAAAGGAGGTTTCAGGGAAGACATGATGCACACTTCTTATGAAAGACTCTGGCCCCCTGTGCCTCCTCCTTGCCCCGTCATGCCACTCCAGTCAAAAATGCAAACTGAGGACACTTAAAATCTAGCCTAGAACATACACCATAACCCCTAACCTTCCATGTAAAGACTACTGAGACTAGCACAGTTCAAATGCAGTTACACTTAATACTGTATTAAAGGCTTGGCAATGTCAGCTTAAAAATCCTCTGGCTAAATGCCTAAAAATATTATTGATGGAGGAAATGGTTACAGGACAGAATTAGAAGCCAGAGGACTCAGGAAGACTTGGGAATCATAAGGAAAAAAAAAATCCCAAACTTCTAAGGCCTTCCTTTATTGTGGATTATTTGGGGGAAAAAAGCTAGTTTCAAGCCTTATTTAAAAGTAAAAAACAGTTGGTGAGAATGTGGCCTTTCCCCCACCGGCCACCTGGCCTCCTATCTGTAAGGAAACTCCCTGGATTCCCTTTTCTCATTTCCACCTACTGGGCAATGGCACTTGGTCACCTTCAACGTGGGGGCATTGGCAGCTGTTTCCTTTATGCCAATAAAGATGCATGGAAAAATATGCAGGGAGTTTATCAATAAAAGCCAACTAACTTGAAAATTATTAAAGTCCTCCCTTTCCTAGCAAATTGGTTCTCAAATGTGAGTGGACACTCACTTAAAATGTGAGTGGACACTTGAAATATTGGTTTTTAAAATGTCAATTCCCAAACTTCATTCCTAAAGATTCAGTAGGTCTAGGGCAAAAAAAAAAAAAAAAAAAAACCCTTCAGGAGAAAACAACCCTAGAACAGAGTTTTCCAAGTTTGACAGATGAGAAGAATCACCTGGAGTGCTTGCCTCACGCACGCATGTCTGGCACACGTCTCGGTGGGCCCTGGAATCTACATGTGTTAGAGTGGTCCCAAATGGTCCTTATCATCAAGTGGTTTTTTTTGAGATGGGGTCTTGCTGTTGCCCAGGCTGGATTCGAATTCCTGGCCTCAAGCAATCCTCCCACCTCAGCCTCCAAAGTAGCTAGGATAACAGGCATGAGCTACCATGCCCAGCTGTATGAGGCAATTTTGGAAAACACTGCTCCGGGGGTAGTTACAAATAGGAAGGAGGGGTTCAAAGAGCTCCCCAAGATACATCCTATCTGCTCCTATCCTCCCCTCAACGCCTCCCCTCTAGAACCAGTACCCTAGAGATAATAAATATCACAGAACAGGGTAAAAATGCCAGGGCTAAAGCTCTTTCAGTTTTCTGCAAAATGGTTATAACTGGATATATTTCTAGTGGTCTCACACACCACCTTATGTTTGTTTTTTTTCCTTTGAGACAGAGTCTCACTCTATTGCCTGGGCTAGAGGGCCGTGGCATCAGCCTAGCTCACAGCAACCTCAAACACCTGAGCTCAAGTGATCCTCCTGCCTCAGCCTCCTGAGTAGCTGGGACTACAGGCATGTGACACCATGCCCGACTACTTTTTTTCCTATATATTTTTAGTTGGCCAATTAATTTCTTTCTATTTTTACTAGAGACATGGTCTCGCTCTTGCTCAAGCTGGTTTCGAACTCCTGACTTTGAGCCATATTCCCACCTTGGCCTCCCAGAGTGCTAGGATTACAGGCGTGAGCCACTGCACCTGGCCCCACCTTATGTTTTGATAATTCTATCAATTACCAAAGAAATGGAGTTTGTTAAACTTGCTGTGGAAGTTACATGACTGACAATGTTCCCAACACCAGAAGGCCCTAAAATGTCTGTTGTGAAACCCACATATTTAGACTATGGGTTCTCATCCATTCCTTCAGTGTCCAGTGGTTTTGGTGGATCCAGTCAGCTCCAGAAAAAAGCTGACCCATGGCAGAACAGTTATCTAAACTGATAGTCTAATATTAAATTTAAAATGCTCTCTTCACTTCCCAGTCTTCAGATGAAATCTTTTCAAAAAGTAACTCACAGACTTCCATCTCCTGCTCTTCACACCTGGCTGAGCCTGCGTCATTAGAAGCAATACAGTAATACTGCCCAGAGTCCTCCTTGTGAACAGCACTGAAAACCTGTTTCAGGGAACAAGTAAATAATTAGACCAGTCAACAGGGAAGACCTCTAAGGGGACAGGAGAGCGAGGTCGCCATGCAAAATCCTTCTGAGTCCAGAACGTGGTCAAACACCTGTGTTTGCTTTTGGTTTCCCTGCAGTTTCCCAGGCACTGTGCAGGTCCCTTCCTGATATGCTTTCCTGACACTCTTGCCTAAGAGCTCCCCAATGACGAGATTCCCTTGGTACCTGAAGATACCAAAGCCCAGCAATATCCAGAATGAGAGGCAGAATTTCACATTTATTCCAGTAAAGGGACTCTCAGATAATAACTGCTCCTCAGGCGACATTTTGGCAGAACAAATACAGACGATCCTACTGCAATTCAACTGATGGCCACATGTAGTTGGATATTCCACAGACCAAAAAGCACCTCCCAGAAGAGAACCCTACAGAGTAAAAGCCTAGTGTGGTTCGCTATGTGGCCAGTCTTGTCCTCTAGTACAGTGCCCAGACTTCTTGGCACCAGGGACCAGTTTCATGGAAGAGGTGGGGGTGGGGATGGGGGATGTTTCAGGATGATTGAAGCACATTACATTTATTGTGTACTTTATTTCTATTATTAACATATATTAGGTTGTGCTATGTAATAAAATAATTACACAATTCACCATGATGCAGAATCAGTGGGAGACCTGAGCTTGTTTTCCTGCAACTAGATGGTCCCACCAGGGAGTGATGGGAGACAGTGACACCCGAATTGTGTTGCTTATGTCCAGTCTACTCTGTAATCTCATTTTGCTTGCTGTCACTGCAGAAAAACCCTGCTTCACAAAGACAAGATGCTGGAAATGGAAACAGGTTTTTCAGTGCTTCTGTGGCAATTTTAGGATATTCCGCCTTGACTTTAATCCAGAACCTATGGAGATTTGAAGTTGTCTGTTGTCTCAAACATACTTTTAAAGCCACCGTCATTTGTGATCTCAAGCAGTTGATCCTCTTCTAGCTTGGCAAAGTCAATTCACCTGGCTTATTCATAAATGGGTCAAGGATCCACTCCTTACCAGTTCAGGGGTCTTTTGTGGTTGGGAAGTAAGGCTTAAACTCTTTTGAAAGCTGAAATAGGTGATCATGGCACCAGATGGGAAAAGGAAGGCCCTGACCAGTATCTTTCAAAATCTTTGCTAATGTTTGAAACATGTCAAAAATCCCTAAGTTGACTTGTCACTCCCATGATTCCAATTTGGCTTTATCTGCTAACTTGAACACAGTTATCATTCTCCCTAAAGTGACAGACTGAATTTGTCAAGTAGGTTGAATATGTCACACAAGTAAGCAAATTTTGCGACCCATTTTGTGCCATTGTAAGGTGCTGCCAGTGGTGACTGTTTTTCTAAAAGAAATCTCTGGAACAGCTCTCATAACTCAAAAACTCTGGCCAGTTATCTACCTTTAGCAACCCATCTCACTTCTGTGTAGAAGAGAAAAGATGTGTGCTCTGCATCCATCTCCTCACAGAGCCGCGTGAGTTAAGGGCATGTACTTTAATGTGATTAATAATTTTAATCACATCCTGCAAAATGTTTAGTTCAGGTGACATTTTTCAGCTAAATGGCATTTACAGTTCACAGACTCGCATTCACAAGTGACCTCCTTGACCTGAGTAGTGAAACCAGAAAGCTGTCCAGTCGTGGCAGCTGCTCCATCCATGCATAGACTGACACAAAATGACCAATTCAGTTTTCCTGATATGTAATCATTCAAAGACTTTAATAGCTCTGTGGCTGTGGTATTGGTTGGCAATAAAAGTACACATAACATATCCTCATGTACATACTCCTGAAAAATATATTGCACAAAAACAAGCATTGTTGCCTTGTCAACACTGGTAGACTCATCAATCTGGACTAAGTACCATGGTGACTCATTAAAATCCTCTGTAACAATTGTGCCTCAACATCCTCTGCTATTTCATCAATTTGTCTAGTTCCAGTGCTAGCCAAAAGAGGAACACATGCCACCTTTGAACTGCAGCCTCTCCTAAATGTTCACTGCAAATGTCCTGAGCAGCAGGCAGATCAACTCTTCTCCAACAGTAAAGGGCTTCTTAGCTTTAGCAATGCGATTACCTGCTAAGAACGATGCTCTCAGTGCAGACACATTTGATGAAGTGGTCGTCTTCAATAATTGCGTCCGCTCTTCATGTTCATGTTTTTTTTTTCTTTTGAGAAACTCCACAGGCTTGTCTTTTAATGCAGGGTGCTTGGTCTCCTTGTGGTGAAGCAGTTTTGAAGGTTTCATGGCTTCCTTGGATACCCAGTCACCACATATCACACAAAGCGGGCTTGGAGAATGTGAATCACCCATTGCAATGGACCCATAATTTAAGTAGGACTCTTGGTATTTTCTTTTGAATGCAGCTTTCATTTTGTTGGCAGTCTTAGAGTCTTCTGCTGTCTCATCATTCGCTCTTTCCCCCTTTTCAGAGCTCCCCAGCAACATTTGTTTTTTACTCATTTTTGCGAAGGTTAGCTTGTAGGTTACCAACACTGTGGGTTACCAACACTGTGACTGAGACGAGTGAGCAGTGCGGGAAAGAAGTGTGGACAGAAGTGGGAAATAAAATAATGGTGGGCTACACACGGACTTAAAGTAAGTCAGATTCTGACTTAAAGCTGCCACCAGATGCAGCTTACACTCACTGACAGGGTTTTGATATGCGTCTACAAGAGATTTATTATGGTCTCTGTGCAGTCTAACTTCTCGGCTAATGATAGTCTGTATCTGCAGCCACTACCCAGCGCTGGCATCACCGCCTCAGCTCCAACTCAGACCATCATGCATTCGATTCTCACAAGGAGCCGCAACGGAGATCCCTCGCACGGTTTACAGTAGGGTTCACACTCCTGTTAGAATCTAACGCTGCCACTGAGCTGACAGGAGGCAGAGCTCAGGCAGTGATGCCAGTGATGGGGAGCAGCTGTAAATACAGATGAAGCTTCACTTGTTCACCCGACAGCCACTCACCTTCCGCTGTGCGATCCTGTTCCCAACAGGCCACAAACTGATAGCAGTCCATGGCCCGGGGCTTGGGGACCACAGATCTAGTGCATGACCAATCTGTTTCCTCTCCTCCCACTACCACTGGGTTATTTTGAAACAAATTCCAGACATATTTTATCCATAAATACTTCAGTGTGAATCTCTAGAAAGTAAGGACTTTTAAAAACCATAACAATCATACCATTATCATGCCTAAAACAATTAACAGTTGCTTAATATCATCAAATATCCAGGTAGTAATCAAATTTCCCTGATTATCTCATAAGAATTTTTACAGTTGATTATCCAAATCAGGACCCTCATCCACCCACAACATTTGTTTGATATTAATATTCCTCCCCAGTCTCATCTAGTCTACAGGTTTCTCCTACCTTTATTTTACTCCCTTAGAATTTACTTGTTTACAAAAGGAGGAAGTCGTTTTTCCTCTAGAATCTCCAACATTCTGGACTTTTAGCTTCTGTCTTATGAAAGAGTTTCACTGTCTCTCTTAATAACTGTTCTTTCCACAGTAAGCATCCCTTACCCCAACAAAGACATCTCCATCCTCACCTCTTAGAAGAGATCTTACCAGAGTGCCTGTTGCAGAGTTTAAGAGAAATGAGGAATTTCGAAATCTGGGATTGGCTCTGGAATCTGTCGGCAGCGGCATGTCATTGCGATACCAGCTGTAGTGAGGCGGGGGGTAGCCCTCGCTCTCCCGGCAGTGCAGTGTCGCTGTCTTGCCTACGGGCACAGCCTTCGGCACTCTGCAGATAGGGCTGACTGGCTTCACTATAGGAAAACGGGTTGGTATTTAAGATCTCAGCAACATGGCTCTATTTTTATCAAAGCCCACAAGAACTCACTCTGAAGACAAGAAAGCCAGCCAAAGGCTCTCACACGACTACAGTCCCCAAACCACATCTGCAGACTGATCTACCACACTGCACCCTGCCCTGCCAGTTCATCCCACCCCAAGTGTGATTCCCATAGGCTCTTCTAACTCCTTCCACCTTCAGGTGGGAGTTGTGGAAGAGACAGAAACAGGTTCAAGCACCTCCTGTAGCTGGTGGAGGAGAGTGACAGAAGCTCCACTCCCCCCTCACCTTCTACCCCAACTCAGCAGTCTCAGATTTCTACAGTTCTCCCCCCCCAAGTCATGTGCTTCCCTCAGGGATGCAGCCCTAGAAAGAAAGAAATCAAAATACAAATTGATCTCTTTTATTCTCTAGACAGAGACTCATGAGGCCCAAAAGGGGCAAAAATGTTTTACTTTCACATGACTTCCTACCTTGCACAGTTAACTCAATGACAATCTCATCAATTTCTTTGCGGTCGTTTCGAGCAACAACCTCACAGCGATAAAGGGCTGAGTCTGTCCGTGTCACATTCCAGATCTTCAGCGAAGTTTTCCCCAATAGTTCTGCACGACCTGCCAAGTCTCCTATGGGAAAGAAGACAAGGGGCACTAAAAACTCTCCATTACAGAGCCCAGCACAGTGGCTCATGCCTATAATTCTAGCACTCTGGGAGGCCAAGGCAGGAAGATCGCTTGAGCTCAGGAGTTCGAAACCAGGCAGAGCAAGAGTGAGACCCCATCTCTACTAAAAATGGAAAAAAAAAAATTAGCTGGGCAACTAAAAATAGAAAAATTAGCTGGGCATGGTGGCTCAAGCCTGTAGTTCCAGCCACTCAGGAGGCTGAGGCAGGAGGATCGCTTTAGCCCAGGAGTTTGAGGTTGGTGTGAGCTGGGCTGATGCCACAGCACTCTACCCAGGGCAACAGAGTGAGACTCTGTCTCAAAAAAAAAAAAAAGAAAAGAAAAAGAAAAAACTCCTTTACAGATACCTTTGTCACTTGAAGAAGGTGATTTCTAGGGCCAGAATTTGAGGCCATGGTAAGAAGATTGCACACTGGTTTCTGTTTCTATTTCCATATAAGAGAAGTGAACTCCCCAAGGATTGGAACCATGACTGATTCCTATTTATAACCTGAGCACCAAAAATAGTCCACGGTGTGCAAGAGGCGCTCATTACACGCGTCTCTGTTGTTAAAATCAGGAACCTCATCTCTTCATCGTATCCAGGAGGTATTCCCCATTAAAAGAAAAATAAAACAAACAACAATAGAAAAACAACTGACATTCCACAAATGATGCTGGGACAACTAGATATCCACATATAAATGAATCAAGTTTGCCCTTTGCCTTACTCCATATACAGCAAAGGCCCCACATAAGAGTTAAAACTATAAAATTCTTAGAAAAAAAATAAGCATAAATCCGCAAGACTTTGGATTAGGCAAGGGTTTTTTAAGATATGACACCAAAAGCACAAGTATACAAAAAAATAATTATATTGGACTTCAAAAAAATTTAAAATGTTGTACTTCAAAGGACAAAAGACAATCCACAGAATGGGAGAAAATATTTGCAAATCACATACCTAACAAAGGACTCCTATCCAGAATATAGAGAGAATTTACAGCTCAATAATGAATAGATACATAACCTAATTTAAGAAGGGACATAAGATTTGAATGGACATATTTCCAAAGACAATAATATAAGTGATCAATAAGCACATTTAAAGATGCTCAGCATCACTAGTCATCAGGGAAATGCAAATCAAAACCATACTGAGATATCACTTCATAGCCACTTGGATAGCTAGGTTCAAAAAGTCAGACAATATCGAGTGCTGGGAAGGATGTGGGGCAAAGCATTGCTGGTGAGAGTGTAAAATGGTGAAAGAGCTTTGGAAAACAGTTTGTCAGTTTCTTAAAAAATTAAACATACAACCAACATAAGACCTAGCAATTGTATTCTTGGTCATTTATCCCAGAGAAATGAAAACTTATGTTCACACAAAAACCTGTACACAAATATTTGTAGCAGCATTACTGATTATAGCCAAAAAGTGGAAATAACCCAAATGTACAACTGATAAAGGGATAAAATAACATGTCTCATCTACAATTCAATATTATTCGGCCATAAAAAGGAATGAAGTACTGACATACGGTACAACATAGATGAACTTTGAAAACATTACACTAAGAGAAAGAAGTCAGCCACAAAAGATTATAAGCTTCCATTTACATAAAGTGTCTGAAACAGGCAACTCCATAGAGACAGAATGTATTATAAATTAAGGGCTGCCAGGGTTGGAGGGAAGGGGATTGACTATTAATGAGTATGGGTTTCTTTTGGGGCTAATGAAAATGTGCCAGAATTTGATAGTAGTGATGCTTGCACAACTATGTTAATACACTAACAGCCATTGAATTTTATACTTTACTTAAAGGGTGATAATTATGCTAGATGAATTAGAAAAAAAATTTTAAAGCATAAACAGACATAGTCTTTCAAAGAAGCATGAAAAACCTGGAAAACAAATAGAGGAAGGAGTTAGGGAAAAAAATAACACAAAAAAGTAGAAACTATTTATTACCTAACCCTAACAACTGGTGACAAGTATATGAAGGATTTACCATAATATAACAAAAACTGGAAAATGCTTATACAATAGAAAGTGAACATTTTCAATCACTTTTTAAAATAAAACGGTTTATTGTACAGTTATCATTAGTAGAAGATTAGAATACCATGTAAAAAACAGTATATAAAAATTTACCAGGGTGCTTCAGGACAGCCCTGCATTGAGGCAAGAGAAGAGACCAAGTAGATTCAAGTTGTCCTCTAGCCCTCATACACTGTGTTGTAAATATTACACTATCCCTTGTACACCTTGTCCCTATAACTAAGAGTAAGATGCTTAATCCCCAGAAAAAGAAAGTTCTTCGAAGAATTTCTTACTTGGTTTCTCTGGTGATCTAAACTGTACATATACAGGGTTTAGTAGGGTGAGCCTAAGTGGCCAAAGGAAACTGATATGTTTTCTGAGAATAACATTTCCATCTCTTCAAAAATAAGAGGTGAAAGAGGGACTTCATGTTAGTGGGAAAACAAACCTATTTTTAAGAGCCTATGACTCCTGATGATGTTGAAAACCCAAAACAGAAAGGCCATAGTTTGAGCTAAATCCACAGAATCTTTCTCAACTCTTAACTTCTCTGAAAACCTATGAACACACCTGCATTTGTACCGTTTACTCCTGCCCTCCTGTCAGGAGGGCAATGTCCTCCGACTCCCTGTCGTATGTCGGCCTCCCTCCATCCCTCCCGCCTTATCAAAGCCAAGTCCTAGCACTGCTCCCCTGAGTCTCTCTCCACAGCTCCCACCTCTGCCCAGGCCACCTCAGCTCCTCCTGGGTTCTGCAAAAGAACTTTGACTTGGTACCTCTGCTCTGAGTTCTGCCATCTCCAATCTCTCCTCTGCAAAGCAGCCATTTCAATCTTCTGAAGCACAAATGTGGAACCTCCTCCCAGAACCTCTCAGTGGGCCTTCAGATACCGCCCATGCTTTGCCTAGCAACCAGAGCTGCTGCCTGGCCGGGAGAACTCCCAGGCTCATCTGCCCCGTCCACGCCCCAGCTGTGGTGGGGAACATGCAGTCTCTCCCCAGCCAGGCTGCTGCTTCTGCACCTTCACACAGCAGTCTCTCCCGCCCCACCACCTCCCTCCACACCACCCTTGCAGTCTTGCCTGGCTAACCAGCCACCCTTCACTCCGCAGCCCGGAGACCACCTCTGGAGTCTTCACTAACCACCATCCTCACCCAATTTGGTGTCACCCCAGCACCCTGTGCTTTCTTCCCATGGGGTATCCCCAGCACCAAGCCAGGGGCACAGCGGGTGGCTCAGTAAATCCATTGTCTCCTTGCTGCTACACATAATCCTTCTAATTAGCTCACTTATATCACACATGTGTCAGGGATCATGATTGAAAAGATGGCCCAGGAAAATGTTCACTTTGATTCCTTAAAAAGATGCATTGTGGACAGATTAAAATCCTGCCTAACAAACTCATATTTGTGGAAGCTGGGTGACAGGTACAGGAAGGCTCAATATACTATTCTCACTATTTTTGCATATATTCAAAATGCTCCATAATAATAAAATTTTTAAAAAGCCAGTTCTCAGTACAGATTCAGGTTACCAGCCTGAGGTATATTTCTGGCCAAAAGTGCATGCCCAGGTCTGTGGACAATGGAGAGAGGACTACAGGATCATACCCTGAATTTTGTTGTCAAAAAACACATATGTGGTTTGGTCATCTTGAATTTTCTTCCATTCAATCCTAGGGTCATTTGTCTGCGAATCCGTAATGATACAAGACAGTTCCACACCTAATGAGCAAAGAAAAAAAAGAACTCTCAGTGAATGTGGAATATTTCTAGGTTCACTTGTATACCCAGATCCTAGCTAGCTCTACTTTAAGAGTGCCCTTTCTTTTTTTTTTTTGGAGACAGAGTCTCACTCTGTTGCCTGGGCTAGAGTGCTGTGGCATCAGCCTAGCTCACAGCATGCTCAAACTCCTGGGCTCAAGCAATCCTCCTGCCTCAGCCTCCCAAGTAGCTGGGACTACAGGCATGCACCACCATGCTCGGCTAATTTTTCTACATATTTTTAGTTGGCCAATTAATTTCTTTCTATTTTTTAGTAAAGACAGGGTCTCGCTATTGCTCAGGCTGGTTTCTAACTCCTGACCTTGAGTGATCCTCCCACCTTGGCCTCCCAGAGTGCTAGGATTACAGGTGTGAGCCACCGCGCCTGGCCAAGAGTGTCCTTTCATGCGGGTTAAAACCTAACCAGCTCCAAGTTCCAAGAGACTTTGAGAAAAGATGAGTTTTTACCAGAAAAACAATAAAGACAATAGCAATAATTTTACTAGAAGGGAAATTCTAGTAAAATTCCCTTAAACACTCTAATTGCACATAAGAAATTCCTTTGCTGTGTAATCACACAGCCTGGCAGGAATCAATGTTAGCTGATAGAAACCCCCACACAGAGTTCTCAGCCAGCAGATGGGATACTCCCTGTTGAGTAGCCACCCCAGGACCTCCTGGGCACAACACAGCAGTGTCCTGTGCTGCAAGACCACCAAATGTCCACTAGATGGTGCTGTCCTCATCATATCTCCCTTGTACTTACTTTCCAATTCCCGTACCACTGGGGTTCTGTTGCTAGACTTGAGATTCACCGCCTCTATCAAGCAGCCTGAAGGGGAAAAAAAGAGTAGAATCAGAGACAATGCATCTCTAAAACAGCAAAGAAACCTTGGACTGAGGTCCAGTTTTTTCCTTCTAAGTAGGCTACAATCACTAACCAAAGGATGGAAAAATATCATATTCCACAATATAGTCTCAGGTACAGCAAGTTTGACTGCTTTTTATCTCAATCTGACATTCACTGGAAGGAACCAAGAGAAAGAGAGGAATTCTGAGAATTCATTCTCCTTCTCAGTCCCAGCACACACCCCTAGGGCATTACAAAGCCTTCTCTCTAAGCATTTCCTTCTTACTCAGAGTCATCATTAACCCTTAGACAATTTTCACCCAGACCTGCATGACTTTTTCCTGCCATCTTCCTTCCTGCCTCCCCTTCTTCCCCAGTCTTCCAATCCTGCAAAGGTGTCCTTTGCCACACGAGATGATCCAAACTCTTGGCCCGGAACTCTCCCCTTCGGGATAGCATCAACAGTCTCTGGGTAGGTTTTCAGCCAGCTAAGAGTCTACTTCGTTGTATTAGCATCTAACCCAATGGTTCCAGTCCATGAAGATGTTTTCACTAGTTTTGGGGGAAGTGAGAAAAATAACTGGTGATTTTCATGAAGTTAAGTTTGTATTATTGATGCAATCAAGATATGCTACTTACATGGCAATCCATTTCCAAACTAGTATCTGATGCACCATGTGTTTCAGCAAACATTAGAAACCAGTTTCTGGTGGTCTCAAAATTTCTCAACTAATCTTTCTGGATAGAAAATCAAATAGCTACAATGATCACCTACAAAATGTCATTCTTATACTAGCTGGCCTCTAAGAAAATATGCCATCCCCAAAGGTGGCCTTCATACAAGACACCCTATGAAGGTCTCTGGGCCTTGGCTTACCATGCCAGCTAAAGACTTGGTACTCTGAGCTGCTTCCTAACTCCTTGTACATCAGGTAGACTGCTGGCCTCAACAATCCATTCTTTTCCTTTCTTATCTTATTTAACAGTCCAGGTATCCATGCCAAGGGACACATTTTGATCCTTCCCTTCTAAATAGTAAGACTTCACTGATTCTAGCAAAAGCCTTAAGGAATCTAGTAAAGAAACATAAGTATAATATACCTAAACTGCCATTAGTTTCTAAAACACTCACTTCTACAAAAGGCTATAGAACCAGGGCAAGTAAAGATGATTTTATTTTGTTTTGGATAACCGTGAGCTACTCCTTCCTTGTGGAGGCCAGAAATATATCCAATGCATGTGCAGCACCTTCTACTTCTCTTTCAAACTGAAAACTCCTAGTGACCCATTAATAAAGAACAAAGGGCCAGGCACGGTGGCTCACACCTATAATCCTAACAGTTTGGGCAACCAAGCTGGGAGGATCACTTGAGGCCAGGAGTTCAAGACCAGTACAAACAACATAGTGAGACCTGGTCTCTACAAAATACAGAAAAATTAGCCAGGTGTGGTAGCACATGCCTGTTGTCCTAACTACTCAGAAACTCAGGAGGCAGAGGTGGGAGGATCGCTTGAGCCCAGGAGTTTGAGGCTGCAGTGAGCCATGATGATGCCATTGCACTGTAGCCTGGGCAACAAAGCGAGACTCTGTCTCAAAAATAAGAGAGAGAGAGACAGAATATATGATGATCTGAGTAGCTACCAAGGCCACAAAGCTTCCTTCTAAGGAAAGTGACTACGAACAGTTTTTTCAATATGATTACTATGATTAAGATGACACACAGAAACTCTGGCTACAAGAGACTATGGCCAGGGATCAGCTTTCAACCCAAAGATCATCAAAGGGGCTTTACAAGTGTTAAGAAGTATGAAGCCAACAGGGATAAGAAAATGAGTTAGAGAGCTTAAAATGACAAGAGAAACAGAGTAGGAGTATAAGGAGAAGCTGATTCACCAAAATGGTAGAAAAACTGGAATTGTAACAACAGATGAACTAGAGGACATAAAAGAAAAGTTACGCTGCATTTTCATGAAGACAAACTGAGATATATATCTTTACAATAACCCTCTAGGGTAAACTAAGCCAATTTGTTTCTTACAACCTAAGGAAGCTAAGGTAACAGCTCCAGATAATGGAAATAATCACTTTTTTTTATCCCTCTGCACTGTGGCAAAGAAGTGAATGTTTTATACTTCTTAATGAAGCCTTGACCTGACTGCTCTCCTGTTCAACTATACTAGATAAGTTTAACAGGCAACTTTTTATGCCAATCCTAGGAGACAATATGTCCCAGGAAGATTCCAGAATAGAAAATAATTGAAATTCTAGCTTAAGTGATTGTCTGCAACAGCTGGGCCCTACATCACATAAGGTCCCAAGCTGAGAATTCTTTCTCAGAATTCTCATTCTATACATAAACAATTCTTAAATTTATAAATATTCTAGAACTCCTTTCTTTGCCCATCCCCAATAGCCTAGGGTCACTTTAAAATTAAGTAACAACTATGCAAAAGATTAGTGCTATGAGGATTGGAAGCCAGGAAACTAACACTTGAAGACATCGTAAGTAACTCATCTGGAATACTACCCCATGTCTGAGGATAAGATGATGACATAACCAGTTAGGAAACGGGGTCTTAGAGCCAGCTTGCAGTCGTGGCTGCTGAAGCTGAACTCTGCACACACTGAGTCCCAGTGCTGTCAGAATACTCACACTGAGGTTATGTTATATAAGACTGAGCAAAAGGTTTTTTGAAAGGAAGAAAAAAGGAAAACTGCTAATCTGAAATGTTGTTCCTATTTAATTTCATGTCCGTCTTGACCTGTCCATCAGATTCTACACTATTTTGGAGATTCCATTCATTCATCAATTTTTATTTAGACCTATTGTGTTCTGTTATCAATAGATATCAATATCAATAGAAGTAATGCTATCAATAGAAGTAATGATACATGAGTAAAACAGATAAAATCTATACTCTCATGGAGCTTATATTTTACTATTAAAAAACAGGTACCGTAATCCTAGCACTCTGGGAGGCCAAGGTGGGCGGATTACTTAAGGTCAGGAGTTCGAAACCAGCCTGAGCAAGAGTGAGACCCCGTCTCTACTATAAATAGGAAGAAATTAATTGGCCAACTAATATATAATAGAAAAAATTAGCTGGGCATGGTGGCACATGCCTGTAGTCCCAGCTACTCGGGAGGCTGAGGCAGGAAGATTGCTTGAGCCCAGGAGTTTAAGGTTGCTATGAGCTAGGCTGACGCCATGGCACTCACTCTAGCCTGGGCAACAAAGTGAGACTCTGTCTCAAAAAAAAAACCAAAAAAAAAGGTACCATATTTATTCATCTTTATTATATTTTTTTCCAATGCCTGATTGCAAAACTTACTACAAAGCTACAGTAATCAAAATAATGTGGGACCAGTATAAAGATAGGCATATAAACCAATGGAATGGAATAGAAAGCCCAGAAATAAACTGTCATATATGGTCAAATGAATTTTGACAAGGATGCCAAAATCATTTAATGGAGAAAGGACAATCTTTTATCTTTAACCACTTCAGTATGGCGCTCACCGGACTTCAGTATGGCGCTCACCAGCTGCGAAGCCGTGCCCACAGCTGACACTCACAGTCCGCACAATGGCCTGTGCTGTGCATTGATAACGCATCCGTTTTGCTCTCGTGTGATGAGGAAAGCTTTAAAGCACTGAAAGCTTGTTTTACTTTACAGGCAGCTTTACTTGTAATGTAAATCAGATAGGTAACATATATATATATGTTTTCATTATGTTATTTTTAAATGTTTACAATTTTATTTTGATAAATAAAAATAGAAAAGTCATATCACAGCTGTCGGCTAAAGTCACTGTGCGCCTTCATCTGTGGCTGTCGACTATAGTTGATGCTTGTACCAAAATGGTTAAACAGTGCTGGGAAAACTGAGTATCCACATGCAAAACAATGAAGGTGGAGCCATCTATTACACTATATACAAAAATTAGCTTAAAACTCCTGAATGTCAAATACCTAAACATAAGGGCTAAAAATATAAAGCTCTTAGAAGAAAACATAAAGGAAAATCTTCATGACACTGAATTTGGTAATGGCTTCTTTAATATGACACCAAAAGCAAGGGCAATAAAAGAAAAAATAGGTAAATTAGATCTCATCAAGATTTTTAAAATTATATATCAAAGGACACTATTAAGAAAGTGAAAAAAACAACCCATAGAATGGGAAAAAATATTTGCAAAGCACATATATAAGGGACTAACATCCAGAATACATAAAGAACCCCGACAACTCACCAACCAAAAAACTAACAACCAGAATCAAAAATGGGCAAAAGACTTGAATAGATATTCCTCTAAAGAGGATATACAAATGGTCAATAAGCCCATGAAAAGATGGTTGGCTGGGGATAGTGGCTCCTGCCTATAGTGCCAAATTAGGAAGCCAAGGTAGGAGAATCACTTGAGGTCAGGAGTTTGAGACTAGCTTGAGCAAGAATGAGACCTCATTTTCTACAAAAAATAGAAAAATTAGCCAGGTGTGGTGGCGCATGCCTCTAGTCCCAGCTATGCAAGAGGCTAAGGCAGGATGATCGCTTGAGCCCAGGATTTCAAGGGTACAGTGAGCTATGATGAGGTCTTTGCACTCTAGCCCAGGTGACAGAGCGAGGAGACCCTGAGACCCTGCCTCCAAAAAAAAAAAATGCTCAACATCACTAGTCTTTAAGGAAATTAATCAAAACTACAATGAGATATTACTTCACACCCATTAGGATGGCTATGATAAGAAAGAAAAGAAAGAAAAGAAAGAAAAAGAAAGAAGAAAAGAAAAGAAAAGAAAAGAAAAGAAAAGAAAAGAAAAGAAAAGAAAAGAAAAGAAAAGAAAAGAAAAAGAAAAGAACAAATGCTGATGAGGATATGGAGAAATTTGAACCCATGAACATTGCAGGTGGGAATGTATTATAAAATGGTACAGCCACTATAGAAAAGTTTGGGAATTCCTCAAAAAGTTGAACATAGAATC